GGTCTAAAGTTACGGATCTCAATTCAAACCCGACACCGTAATTAAAAACAAGAATATTTACTAGAATTGGTGGGTGCAGGAAGCAAAAAGAGGTAATTTAGTGGAAGATGAAGTCAAAGGAATTAGGAATCCAAATTAAGAAGGAATGAGGGTGATATCTCTCCACTTGAGTCAACAGGGATGGGATCGAAAATGCAATTAACAATGGTGGGTCACCTAACTCCAAATATATTCCTTTCTTCCACCATCACATTTTCTTTTTGTTTTCTTTTCTTAGCCTCTTCCCACATAACATATGATGATGGCCTAGTCTGCTTTTTATTTATTCAAATCACCTTCTAGAAGGCCTCACCTACATGTTTATACATAACAAATTATTAATAAAATGGACAATTTATCGGACAATTGATTTAGTAAGCACAATAATATTTTAAATTTGACTCCATGTGAGAGCTGTCTATTGTTATTCTTGATTTGAGCTAGTTAGCTATGACAACCTAAATTAATTTGCCTCCTTGAGGCCAAGAGGATTTTCCTGTAAAAAAAAAAAAAAAAAGAAAAAACATTGGAAAGGCCTGCTTAGCTTATAGCATAATTAGCTACGAATTCAATTTTAATAAATTATATACAGATTTTATTTTTTGTTGATAATGTCGAGTACAACTATGTAACACCCATGTTATTATAACTTAAATAATTGTTTATTTCAAAGCATCAATTACCGTAATTTAGTGTCGAATTGCGCAATCATCCACTACTAATTAAATGAACGTTTGAAAAATAATAAAGTTGATGACATATAGATATCGGAATAATATCCATAGCATGCGCCTACCAAACTTACCACATTTATTATTTCCATTGCAAATTCCAGTAATAATTTCGTCACCGGAAGGGAAAAAAAAAAAAAAAAAAAAGACCGACATTATCTGTACTACGTTACAGAATCAAAATATACATCATCGTAAAAGAAAATCATTTACTTTGTGATAATTAAAATTTGCCGATAATTACCACTTCAAGCCTTTAAATTTGATTAATAGTATTTTTTTAACGCTAATTTTTTTAAGTACAATAACTTTTTCATATTGGATAGTCATTCTAAGTTTTCATCGACAATAACCCTCATACTTAATAAACCTCATAATAAGGATTACGGAAACCGAAAGACATTTCCAATTTTGAGGTCTTGTTGGTAATAAATAATTTAATTTCGCTTAATTCGAATTTTAAATTTTACCCGGCCAACAAGTCAACAAGACAACTAACTGCATGCATACGAAGGTAGGTAAATCATCGAAATTTTTAATAATTTATTACTCCGTATTATACATTCAATAGGCAGTGTAATAGTTTGAATAGTTTGAATATTTTGAATATTTTGTTTTATTGGGATTAGTGTCCAAGGAAGCTGCAAATTATGTTGTAGAACCGTGTCCACCTTGCAAGGTCGAAACGGTTTCAAAACGGCATCGTTTTGGTGGAAAATGATGATGTGTCAATTAAAAAAAATTGTTTTCTTTCGCCGCTAACGGCGTTTATTTTCAACAAGTCTATGTTCATAATTACTGAACTTTATGTTTATAATTATAGAACTCTATGTTCATAATTTTTGAACTCCATATTCATAATTATTGAACTATATATTCACAATTATAAAACTCTATGTTCATAATTATAGAACTATATATTCACAATTATAGAACTCTATGTTCATAATTATAGAACTATATGTTCATAATTTTTGAACTCTAGAAGTCTATGTTCATAATTACTGAACTCTATGTTCATAATATTTGAACTCCATATTTACAATTATTGAACTCTATATTCACGATTACAGAACTCTATGTTCATAATTCTTGAACTCTATATTCACAACTGCAGAACTCTATATTCACAGTTACGTAACAGTATATTCACAATTTTTTTTATGTCGCTGCATTCTTTTGACAATTTTTTTTTTTAAAATCTGAATGGTGGAGGAAAAACGATGCCACTAACGGTACCGTTACTCCCGAATTGCAGAACGGCGTCATATTGAAAGATGGACACGGATCCATGGCATAACAACTCGAAGCAAGCTTAGCGGGCTTGAGGTAATTGTATTGGGCCAAAACGAAGGAGGGAATGGGCCTCGTTGCCGAGAAGATTAACACAGGAGACGAAATACTAATCGTTATACTATGAATCATGGTCCATATTTACATGGACTTTAGGAGAAGAAGAATTGATAATAAATAAATAAATAAAAGCAAGTGGCAGGAGATGCAGATTGAATGTATATGTAAACCTAAATTTACCGAACAAACGAGCCTTACAATTAGGCATAAATTAGAGACAAGAAAACCAAAGTCAAGACGGCCGGTACTTTCTTTTCCCAAATCCGTTGTTTGTTTGTTGTAAATTTCTATAAATAACTTCAATTATAGCTTACAGATGGAGCCCACCAACATTATATATAGAATTCGATTCATCCTCAGCACATATGTTACGTTGTTAGATTAGAGTTGTTTGCTATTTTCTATTTTCTGCCTCAACAAATTGACTGGATCAAGTGGAGTGAGTTGTTGCATTTCTTCTAGAAACCCTAAAAACAACAATAAAATCAAGGAATTGATGACTTTCAAGGAATCTGATGAACCACTATATATAATTCAAATTTTTTATCTTTGGGTGACGGTAGCCCAGCTTATGTATAGCAGTTTGTAAATCGCACAAGAATGGTAAGCTACATTCAAAAAATTCTATGCGAGGGACTCGATCAAAAAATATTAATAAGAATCAAATTCGTGATTTTCTGGTATAAGAATCATACTCTAACTACTCGGTCATAACCCGTTTTGGGACATATAATTCAGAGTTTAGGATAAATTTATAATTTATTACAATTAATTACTATTTTTGTGACAAGATATCATCAATAGATTAGTTTAATTTGGAATAATAAGAAAATTGCAGTAGTTGGGAGGTCCTTCTTCCTTGCCACTAAAAGAAAATGTTTTTTATGCAACAAAAATCATGTGGGTTGACAAATTATATATAAGTTTTTTTTAAACCTTTACTTTTTACGTTATATGATATGATTAAAAACAATACATATTATGTAGGAGGATAGAAAAATATATTTAATATACATTATTTGTGTCTCCTTTTGAGGTGTTGTATTTTGACTTATAAAATTAAATTAATAATAACATACAAATACATATATGTGTATGAAGCGGGCCGGAAGAGATATATAATACACAAATGATGACATGACATACAACTTCAATATATATAATAATTAATATATAACAATTCAAGCAAGCTTCTAGAGCATAAGGTCTCTATCAATTTTCCTACCAAACATACCAAATAATTCACAGGGAAAAAAAAAAAAAAAAAAAAAAAAAAAAAACAAAAAAACAAAAACAAAAACAAAACTTGAACAAATGATAGATCAAAGCTATCCTAGCCAGTACACATCAAAATCAAGGTCTCTAGTAGGTGCCTAATTTAAGGTGGGGATCGGATGACTTGCCGACCACGTAGATAGGAAGAGGTATGATGATTGAGAACATGTACATAAGAGACAACATTTGATTGTTGAAGAATAGAAGAGAAGATAAAAAAAGAAGGTATGAATTGGATGGGAGGAAGTGAATTAGGTATAGTTTAGAAACTATAAATTAGTGTTTGATGATTATGTGGAGTGTGAAAAAATTAGGTGACACATGATCAAATGGGAGTCCAAGAAGTTAGAAAAGTATAATAATGCATGGTTGGTTAAATTTTACCAAAAAAATAATAATAATAAAAACTAATGTAGTAATCGGACCAATTTACAATTATATATATTTTCACAATCAATCATTTAGAGCATTGGATAGAAAAGATTTTTCCAAAAAAAAAAATTAATTAAATTCCTAAATTTTGAGCAAAATGATATTTTATATTGTTTAGTTCATGGAATTTATTTTTCAATAGAATTAGAATTCATCACATTTGAGGAAAAAAAAAATTCTTTGCTCAACAAAGGTACTTAGTTTTCCATGGAAAAAAATTTCTTTGTTCACTTGGTAGACAATTTTTCCCTCGTAGAACTTTCTTAATTATTATTTTATTGTGACATATGGTCTTTATACTCATTAGTCCTTACAATTCTGAACTCAACCAAACGAATGAATCAATATTCTCATTAATTTCTTTTCTACCAACCAAACAATCGAATCAATCTTTCTGGTAATTTCTTTTCGCGAACCAAACATGCCGTTAAAGAAAAAGTTTGTATCATTTATTGTTATATTTACTATTTAAATGTTAAATCAAGTTTGTTAATGTAATTACTAAATATATAAACTTTATTCATTAATTTTAAATTAATTAACATACAAATTAAACCATTATTAAAGGGTTTAAAAAAAAACCCATTATTAAAGGAACTATACATAAAATATGTTTGAAAAAATAATTACTTTGTGAAGAGAAAAAAATAAAGAAATAAAAATATTATAACCTATTTATTTTCCTACCTCTTTATTAAAAAGTACTAATGGTAAAATAGAATAAATATAATGAAATTAGAGAGTAGTGTACTATGTAGTGTGATGACGCATCTGTTATCATTTTAAATGGGTGCAATGGTCATAAGATCGAACCACTTTGGTGATGATAACATTGATTATTTGAATTGAAAAAAATTGAAAAAATATATAACATACACTACTTTGTAAATAATTTTTTTATTATTTAAAAAAAAAAAAGACATTGTACTGTTAGCAATAATGGTAAAAACAGAGGGTGCAGAAAGCAAATAAATAAAACTACATGAAAAGTAGAGCTACCTACCAAATCCAGCACTAACTTAATTGCTGCATAGCAACCACTCGTCTTTCTCACCAACTCGGTCAAATACCTGCATTCAATCAAACTCTCTTTTTTTTTTCCTTTTAAAAAAATAAAAAATAAAATTTATGAATTCTTTCCTAGAGCCTAGAGGTCCCGAGTCAAATGGTCATTATCCCCTCATCCTCTTCCTTCTTCCCCTCACCATTTATATTACCCCCATCTTACTCGCTTTTTGTCCTTAAAACATCATTCATCACTTCTCTCTCTCTCTCCCTCTGTTTTCTTAACCAAAACCTTAATTGTATCGTGGGATCCTCGGAAAGCGTAAACAGGTTACAGGTAGAGTGAAGTAAAGATGGGCAGATCTCCTTGTTGTGAGAAGGAACACACCAACAAAGGAGCGTGGACCAAGGAAGAAGACGAGAGGCTTATTAGGTATATCAAAAAACACGGCGAAGGTTGTTGGCGGACTCTCCCCAAAGCTGCCGGTATTACATTTATCTACTAAATTCCGAATTTCTTTCTCCTTTTTTCCATATATGATCGAGCCTCGACGACGATATATATATATATATTTATTCTCGTTTCTTATCTCGATCTCTTTCTGATATGTCGGGAATTCAGCTTTAAGGTTTTCATTTTTGTCTGTTTTCTTTAATCATCTGTCGTCGCTGAAGAATTAACGTAGTTTTCATTGTTCGTTCTAACAATAATCTATCTAGACATGCAGTTTCTAATTACGTGGTTTTTGGACTGTCGTCGTAGCGTAGAATCATATCACATACATAAATGTTATCAATATATATCTGAAAAAAATATGTATTTCTGCAGGGTTGCTTAGATGCGGGAAGAGTTGCAGGCTGCGATGGATAAACTATCTGAGACCCGATCTTAAACGAGGCAACTTTACTGAGGAAGAAGACGAACTCATCATCAACCTTCATAGCTTACTTGGAAACAAGTACATATACTACACCCACTTCACGCTTTTTCTTTCTTTATATCTTTATATATATAGAGAGACAAGTTTTTCGTGGCAACTAATAAAAGTTTCAAATGATGTTTTTTTTTTTTTTTGTGTATCAGATGGTCATTGATAGCGGCACGGTTGCCGGGAAGAACGGATAACGAGATCAAGAATTACTGGAACACTCACATTAAACGGAAGCTTCTCAGCCGTGGGATCGATCCGCAGACACACCGCGCTGTAAGTTCAGCTCAGAACACTGCGGCGGCGGACGCTGCCTCCCCTTCCGCCGCAGTTGTCCCCCTCGCTCTCTCCTCGTCCGCCAAGAACCTAGACCAACAACAACATGAGACTGCTGCAGCTGGGTTTCTTCCGTGGATGAGAAACACAAAGGCCGAGAATTCGAACAACACTTCGACGACCACCGAGGATTCCAACAGCAGCAGCGGCTTGTCATCCGAGGAAATAGTATTGCACCCGGCGGCGGCGGCGGCTCCGCTAATCAACCTGGAGCTGTCCATCAGTCTTCCCCAACCGCCGGCGGCGCCGCCGTCGACGACGAAACTCGCCGGGAAAGAGTTTAACGATCAAACCCGTAAAAACCATCTCTTCTTCAGTCAGCGAGCAGTGTGTTTGTGTTACAATTTAGGGTTTCAGAATAGTAATGCGTGTAACTGTGACAAAATGATGACGACGAGCAGCATAAACGCTGAAGCAGGGATGCACAGTTTTTACAGGCCCCTAAGTTTATAAGGAATTCTAATTTCGCCCCTCTATATTATAGTGAATATGATCGCTTTGGTCCCGAATACTTTTTGAGTCGCATAAATGTGAAATTAGCTTTCAGTCGCACTCCTTCATTCAATTCTCTTCCACCTAACACAAATATTTCTACATTTTTAATTAAAATAAAATTCAAAATCTAAAATTTCAATGAGATAAATATTGAATTTGGCATTGACATTGTAATTTGTCAAATTGATTATTACATCTAAACCATGCAAGAGAGGTAGTTAAACCGTATAAGGAAAATCTCGTGTCAAGTGTTTTGACAAAAAATATTGTTAATAATTAAACTTGTAACCTTTAAATACGATAATCATGTTATACTCACATAGTCAATCATCCATTTCGATACAGCTTTTTCTTCTTCTTCTTCTTTTTTTTTTTATTCATTCTATGTTATTTAATTTTAAAAATTTATACAAGGAATGACTAACCTAAAGAGAGTGCAACTTTTACTAACTGTCGTTATTATGGCGTGGTAGCTCAAACTGAAAAAAAAAAAAAATGTTTCTAGAAGCTTTCAATTCGTTAGTTTGATTCATTCAAATACCAGAATGGACCAAATTGAAGTGGCAAGGAAGGTATCAAAATTATTCAATTTACGTAATGTGGGGTAGGTGAGTGTTGACTGTCTTAATGGCCACCACATGCCTTTGTGCAACACCAGTAATAATAATAATAATAATAATAATATCTGTTAGATACCTAGCTTCAGCCTTCAGGTACTCAATCAATATCTTTAGGTAATCAAACTCAATAGGTACCGTAGTCGGCCCCACGATAAGCCGCAAGGCATGAAGCCATACTGGTGTCCTAGAGGTTCGAGGCTTTGCACTATCTTATCCACCCTACCACGAGATGAGAAGGTGACCAGCCTGCCGACTAGTACCAAGCAGACACCCTACCTACTAACACCAGGCAATCAACCTGTTGACCAGCATCCAGTCGCGAGCATTAAGTCGTTCGGCCGGTCAGTAGCGCCCGCTAGGCGGTCGGGCGCGAGATGACAATAAGCAAGGAGAACAGGTAGAATGTTGAGACCCGCGATCTGCCATTCTTGGCGGCCGGCAAACTTAGGCGATCAGTCAATTACATCGGTGGCGGCACAAGCATCAAGTAGCTCGGCATGTCAGTATCACCTGTTAGGCGACCGGGAAGCAAGGAGATTGACAGGGCGTCGGAACCAGAAGCAGGAAGAGCAGTATTCGGGAGATTTTCCCAAATTTGGAGCGAGATTTCAATTCCTTATCTTAAGGAAAGAGATATCATAACTTGGGGAACAAGACTTAAATTAGTTTAGGCAAGTTTCTAAAGCTCAAATTTGTTACGTCTTTCCTTTCCTTTCTTTAATCAATTCTCTATGTATAAATACCCCTAAGGTCACATTGTAAATTAAGGGTTAGACATCTACTCTCTTGCAAGGATTAGACATCCACTCTCTAGCAATAGGGTTCACAAATGCGCTGCTATTGTTTAATAAGAGAGAAAGGCCACCACTTTCTAGCTATAGCCGCAAAGGGGAGCTCAATCGACACTTATAGCTCTCTAAATAAAAATCCATTCGTACATGTACCAAACTACCTAAAACATAGTGAATTTTCACTTGGCACCACCTAAAAAAGCTTGTGATTTTCACATAAAAAATATTGTCTCTCTTTATTTTTCCTCTCAAATTATTTACCTTTCATTCATTCAACCGGTCATGTTGGCCCAACGAATGACTACCCTGGTAGTCAACAAAGCAATAATATCTATATTATTTATAAGCAAATTAAAATACACCATTTTTTGAAAAAAAAAAAATAAAGGTAAATAATGCCGCCATAGATTAACTTAGTTCAAAAAATATAGTATAAAAATAAATATATTAATTACAATAATTGCAACAAATAAAATTACTTTATTAGTTCATCTATGAGTATAAAAATAAATATACCGCAGTAAGCTCTGCTATCTCTATTCATAAGGTTTCATATGGTAAATTACTATACAGTATGTATAATTGAAAAATAGTAAACATATTTTAGATTCAAACCTTATCGCACTAACTTAGTTCATAATTTTATTTGAGGAAGCTGTGCTATATATCTCTATTCATATAAGGTTTGAATCTAAAATATGTTTACAATTTTTAAATTATACTTTTTAGTATTACACCATATAATAATATTTTGAAGTATGAAAGAGGTTGATAAACCCTTCCACTTGGAAATTTATGATGCAATTATATATGTAGCACTAGCTAGTTTAGTCAACTCATTGTATTAAAAATATAAAAGATTAAAACACATGATGAATGAGTAGTGCCATAAAGAATTGATGTTCGTGAGAAAAGAAGAGAGGCAATCGAGTTATGATGAACAATGTAGTGTTATTGCCTTCTCCATTATTGAACCATTCCTCCAGCTAAGATCAGCAGTTCACGCTGATTTTAGATAAGAAGCGAACATCTTCCTATTGTTTGAGAACAAAAATTCGTCGGCACAGATTTAGCTTAGTGGTTTAAGTAGGCAGTATTTGAGAGGATAAACTAAAGTTTAAAAATCGATATCCATAGTGTGAGATTATGAGCAGATTTGTTGTTTCACGGCTCAATACGCGATTAACTTCGTTTAGGTAAGGCAAATTACGGTCCACACAACTAAATGACATTGTTGAATTTTATGTGTTAGAATAATTAAAATTCTGGGATAAGATAGTGACACTGTTTGGTAAAATAGTTAACCTATCAGTCAATTTTGACTTATTTGACCACTATTAGCGGATTGATTTGGTTAAACAATCAAAAGTGTTTGATTAATTAGCTTTTTGTAGCAACTTATTGCTCCAAAATGGTAAACTTCAAAAAGCTGCTCAAAATAGCTTTTTCGATCAGCTTTTTGAGAAAGTCATTTTATATGTAATCAGCTAATAGTTAACAACTAATTTACCAAACACTTTTCTACAATCAACTAATGCTATCAACTAGTTAAACTCACTAACACAATCAGCTATCAGCTAACAACCACTTATGATTTATCAAACATCCCCAATGTAGTTTATGGTGAGTTAAAATAATGTACATTGACCCTGTTTGGTAAAAAATTGGCCTATAGGTCAATTTTGGCTTATTTGACCACAATTAATTGTTTGATTTAGTTAAAATATCAATATGAGTGTGATTAATTAGTTTTTTGCAATTCCAAAATGCTAAAATTCAAAATGCTACTCCAAACAACTTTTTCAAAAATAAATTATACCAAACAGCTATCAGCTAATTTACCAAACACTTTTCTATAACCGCTAATGTTATCAACTAATAATACCATCTAATTAACACAATTAGTTAACAGCCATTTACCAAACAGAGCAGTACACGCAGCTGACTATATAAATTATAAAATTGTATATATGTTACAGTGAAACGCGTAAAATACACAAAATTAAACAACGTCATTTTAGGACCATGGTCTACACAGCTGACTATTGTATGTTCGGGTAAAGGTTGGGCTTCTACACTCATGTTTTCAATCCCTAGTATTGGACCAAGTCTAAGTAGGTTGGTTTGGTGCACTATATTCCATCATGTAGTTAACAAAAAAAAAAATGAGTAAAATAAGAAAGTGATGAATAATAGAGGTGAGGTAGGCAAAGTTCTAGAAGGTGAGGGGAGGGCAAAGGCGGCAATACGAGCGAATTGAAGATAGCACCTAACATATTGTGGAAAGCTAAGGGAGATGGAGATTTCGTTTTCGGAAAGGGACGTCCATGTTGTGATTCAAACTTGTTGTTTTCATTTCACAGAATAAAATCCCCACCCCAATATGTCTAATCATGCACGTAATAGTTGTAACAGTATTTATTGCACATAATAATTAATTAATTAATGGATGGTGCAACTACTGCTCCAACTCATCATTATATCATCCACTTCACTTTCTTTTTTCCCCTAAACTTCAAACCATGCCATTACCAGTCACATGTTACAATATAATAATATCGATCATAACACAGTTAGTTTAATTATTAATCAATTTTGACGACAGTTTTACACTTTGATCCTATAAGTATTGCGGCAATAATAAAATTACTTTACGACTTTTAAACTTTGCAAACTTAGTCTACGACTATCACTTTTTTTTTTTTTTTTTTTTAGCAAAAATGGTCCTTCCGGCCAAATCTTCATCCACGGCTCAACTCAGTTATAAAGAGGAAATTTTTTTCCCGGACAAAAATTGAGCCGAAAGGACCATTTGTGCTAAAAAAAATGATAGTCATGGTTCAAGTTTGCAAGGTTAAAAAATCGTAGAGCAATCCTGTTAGTGCCACATTACTCGTGAGATAAAAAATGTGAAAACTCTAATTTTGACATACCATTATTAGTTGTTTGACTTGGTTAAACATTCATATAAGTGTTTGATTAACTAGCTTTTTGTAATAGCTTATTATTTCAAAATGCTAAAATTCAAGCCGCTCAAAACAGCTTTTTCAATAAGCTTTTTGAGAAAGTTATTTTGCATGTAATCAGCTATCAGCTAACAAATGATTTACCAAACATCTTTCTACAATCAGCTAATGATATCAAATACTCAAACTCACTAACCCATTTAGTTAACCGCTACTTACCCAACACCCTCGTTGTGTTGTTATTGCTAAATCCTTTAAACTTTTAATAATTTGTTAATTTATTTGAGGAGATTATGGATCAAGCGTACATATACTATTTTATTCTAATAACTTCAGAGTAAGTAGATAAAATCATGTTCGACTTTAAATAAAAAAAATTCGTCTTAATCTTAAACCTTCTCTTTAGTATTGCCAATTGATTCTTAATTTGGCATTCTCTTCCACACACATATAAAAAGAAGAATGATTCTTGTATGGATAAATAGAAAGAATTTTCATGTCCTATCTTTCAACTTGTCTTATTTAATGCGATTGGACAATAGAGAGTTTATCAACAACTTAGTTGCTACAGTGGCCAGGGGAGGGGTGGGGTGGGGTGTTATTAATTAATTAAATGTCTAAATTCCTTCAATCAACAATGATGAATATACATGGACCCTATTTGAAGGAAGGAAGGTGTCAGGTCAGTGTATGAGGTCAGAGAAACATAATTGGCTAATAGTCATTACAACTATTAGGACTATTATATGTACCACTTCGCTTGAAAAATGGGCGATACTAATGATGATATTAAGAACTTTTCTATATTAAGAAAGGTGTCAGGTCAGCTTATGAGATCTGAGAAACATAGTTGGCTAATAGTCATTACAACTATTACAACTATTATATGTATAGTACCACTTCGCTTGGGAAATGAGCAATATTAAAGGAATCATCAAATTCTCTATGTAAAAATGTTGTTGATCCATAACTTGTAGGGGAACTTGGTGTCTTATTCACACATTGACCATTGTACTCTCAAAGGAATCTTAATATAGAAAAGTTCTTAATATCATCATTAACGTATTTTCTGTTTATAATTATTTCGGAGTCCATTTTTTCTGTTTATAATTATTTCGGAGTCCATTTCAATTCCTCCATTAAACACTATTTTTAAGAAAATGCATGCACGATATACTTTGTGATAATATTATTCTCTTTACATGTTTTGATTTTACTTACTCAAAAAGAGAGAGAAAAAAAAATGTTACAATCACGTTTTTTGGGTCTATCAGTATGGTCACGTTAATTAGGTAAAAAGGAAAAAGTGTACCAATACTGCTATTCCTATAGTAAAAAGGGGAAAATGAATTACTTCAAATACGTATATGAGGAAGAAGACAAACACATATCTAGGTTTCCTGGTGGTCATGGGCCAAAATGTTAGTTTGTCAAAACTCCTAAGTCATACAAGTATAGAACACTACTATCTACATACAATAGTTTCTCAACCCATTTATATCGAATGACCTGGCCTGCACAAAGGCTTTCTTCTTGTTGGACCAAATTGGCATATTGAGCCTTGCTTAAGTGACCCTATTATTATCAATTATTATTGTGTGGATCATGGTCCACACAAGTTGTGTGGATCATATTTTGTCTATTGTAAAATAATGTATATTTAGTACAAAAATAATGTACATTCAGTACAAAAATAATGTACATTGTATTTAGGGGATGTACATTATTTTTGTTCTGAGTGTACATTATATTGTATAATGTACATTCAGTACAAAAATAATGTACATTTAGTATATTAAAATGTACTTTTTGTTTGGTGCACATAACATTGTGTGGACCACGGTCCACACAATAATTTGCCTACTATTATTATTGTTGTTGTGCATTGGATTTCCCATCTTACGCTAAACTAATCCTTAATCCCACAAAATCCCTATCTTAAAGCATGAGAGAAGGTAAATCGCGTGTCGTCCAGTCACTTCTTAGTTGCCACCCCTGCCTGTGGGCAAATTATGTTGTGCACCATGCATGGTGCACACGGATGCAAAAACGGCGTCGTTTTACTTAAATAAAAAAAAATCATTTTCGATTGTCGTTAGTTATGTAAATTGTAAATATATGTTCATAATTTTATAATTTCACATTCTGGATTTATAGTTATGAAATTATGGATGTGTAGTTATACAATTCTGGATTTATAGTTATAAAGTTATGGATGTGTAATTATGCATGCAATTTTGAATGTATAGTTATGAAGTTATAATTTCACATTCTGAATGTATAGGTATGAAGTTATAATTTCACATTCTGAATGTATAGTTATGAAGTTATGGATGTGTAGTTATGCATGCAATCCTGAATGTATAGTTATGAAGTTATGGATATGTAGTTATGCAATTATGAGTTTATAGTTATGAAGTTATGGATGTGTAGTTATGCAATTCTGAATGTATAGTGATAGGTTATATACCTCGGATCCGTGTTCCCACTTATAATCGGATCGGGTCAAGCGGTTCAGTCTCGGTCTACGGGTCATGGTCAAAGGTGACAGGTCAAACCCGCCACCTCCTTGCCCCTATAAAAGTGCTTCTAGCCCTCCAACTGAGGGGTTCCACCCCTTCGGCCACTCACTCTACTCTCTCTCTATGCATTTAGCTTGATCTCTTCGTTCTCTTTAGCTACAAGAAAGCACCCAAGAACAAAGCATGAATAAAATACCCTTTGAGCTATTTCTCTCTTGTTCATACATATTACTTGCATTACATATATTCTACGAGTACAACCGACTACCGGGAATTAGTACTATCATATAGTTATAAAGTTATGGATATGTAGTTATGCAATTCTGGATTTATAGTTATGAAGTTATGAATGTGTAGTTATGCAATTCTGGATGTATAGTTATAAAGTTATGGATGTATAGTTATGCAATTCTAATTTTTTTTTTTTAAGTTGGACGTCAAAACGACGTCGTTTTTGCAACCGTGTGCACCATGCATGGTGCACACGTACGGTTGCACAGCATAACGCTCCCGTGTACACTCTGTGGGTTTGTGCACAAGGAGTCTTCATCACCTCTTATCAGCTCCCACCCTATCACTAGAGAACAACTTTTAAGATGACTGTTGAACCATTAAGCTCTCCCAGTATATTATTATTGTTTTCAAATTATTGAAAACCTTTAATTTGAATAAACAAATTAACAATACTTCACAGTTTATTGGGACGGTTAATGTTTAGATGTTAAAGTAAATTTAAAGGACAAACTACTCTCGCTCCAAGTTTACCTTACAGAGAATTAATCAATAGTATCTCTTGTGACTCTTCTTTGTGGAACCGCAGAAGCACCCTTTGGACTTTAATTTTGATCTCCCTCAAATAAACAAGAAATTAAAATAAATAATTAATTAAAAATAAGAAGCATGCTTCATCGTCTTGAAAAGGGCCAAAATCCGACCAGCATTATCATGCTCCGACCAATGCTGTCTCTGCTTTTAGGTTCTCTTCATCTTTACTTCACTGCATACATTAATCATTTCTCTTCATTTAGCTCAGGACCCCTTAGGAATCTCAATCATTATTATAGATTCGATGCAACAAACTGGCTGACATGACATAAATTTCTATTTCGGATCTTTCTCTGTACGTACCACGTCTTAAGGTCTTACTTAATTCACCCGACTAATTCATGCTCGCTCCAAGAAGTAAAGAAGCTGACCCAGGAAAAATCGTCACTTGTGGGTATCAAACTCAGATTATCCTACCCAGGAAAAAGAGCTCATTTGCCATTTAAGCTACCCCGTTGATTAATTTCTATACCATTTTACCTAAACTTTTCTTTTTTACTTCAAATCATTTTATTTCATAACAAATAACTAAAGCTTTTAATCCTACCATATACATAAATAAAATATAATTTTATTTTATACAAAAATAATTTAGAATTTGGAAGTAAAATTCATACATTCTACATTGAGATGAAAATTCATATCAATATATAAGACTTCAATTAAATTAAGGTGTAAGATTTGGATTTGTAACAAAAACATTGATGGAAAGAGAGTCTAGAAAGAGGGGAAACAAATACATTCATTCCACATACACAAAAAATTCATGAAACAAACAAAAGAAATTCATTGGAAAAGTTAATCAAGGGAAGGTTTGGCTTTCAAACGATAGAGGAGCTTCTTCTTCTTGGAGGTGTGGTTATCAATGGTGAGAACCACTTTTCCAGGTTCAGTAATCTTGAAACTATTGCAAACCACTTGTTCTTCACAGGCTGAGTTACCAAATTTTCTGAGTTTCTGTATTATCACAGTGTACCCATCTTCTGCGCTGGGTACAAACTCTGCTCCATAGCTCACTTCCCATCCCACAACTCTCATCTCCCATGTCAGAATGCACTTCTGCACAATCAAACAATGTGAGTTGAAAATGAACCTTTTTTTTTTTTTTTTTGAGAAAAAATATGAATAGTTGATGTAATGTTTAACTAAGATTCTTTGAGTGTTTGGTTTCCTCGTAGAGTGTAAAAAAAAGATGACAGAAACCAGACAAGTCATCGGAGTGTGTTTGGTCAACTAAAATGAGACAGACAATACATAGTTGGTGATGTCAGGTGGTAAGAGAATCCAAAGAAGCAGTTTCCCATTTCGAAAATTCCGTGTTTTATACATATTTCGAGCCGAATTAGATCGAGCTCGAGCTTCAATTTTATTTTAGTATCGGGATGGGAAGGTAAGGTAAGGGTGACACTATTTCAACTTATTTGTAAATATTAAAGTAAAATCCGGAACATATAATAGCTGACCTGAGTGACTGGGAACTCAACAATATGTTTGGCAGAGGGCTTAACAGTAATTTCAGTGACACTATCAGCTGTTCCAAACTCTCCATCTTTGCTCAGTCCTCCATACTGAATAGGCACTTGTTCGGCAGCTATGTATCTGTATGTGTTTCATTTTTGTAAGAACAAAACAAACAATTAATTGAAACCTCAGTTCAAGAAAGGAAAAGCAGATTGAAAGTAGCAGAAACCCAAGTCTTGTTTGTTTTGGATACTTACTTGAAAAGGGTTTCAGCTGATTTGGAAGGGCCAGCAAAGACAAATTTGCTTTTGGTCCTTTGGGTCAAAAAGGGACTGGTCATTCTGCTCACTGCTAGATACCACCAAGGCACATTGATAAACACCTAAAAACAAAATAAATCCAGACACACCATAAACTTAATCAACATTATTATATTATATTATATAATGATTTAGACTAGGAATGTACACTTCTTATTACTTTTTATTATATAATAATAATAATATTCCTGCGAGAAAGTTTAAAGTTGTTGCACCAAATACTAGGAGATAATATTATCACATAGTTGATTGGTTCGAACCAAGAAGGTTAGGATTGCAAAACCTGTTTGGCAATAAATCGAGTTTAGTGAATGCAAACTAACCTGTTTGGCAAGGAATTCAGGATAGTTATCCTGGAGCAAATGAAGGGCCTGTTTGGTAGCTTGTCTAAGCTCCCATTTAGCAGGCCCTGGAGAGTTGTTGAGATCATTGACCTGAACAATGGTGGAAATCCCACCAGGTGTGAACTCCAGCTTCCTTATGCTCTTCTCAAGAAACTGAATCCGCCATCTCAGGAATCTCTGTCTCTTCTCTTCATCGGAGAAGGTGTTTGTGTACAGATCTTTGTTCTGGAAATGTCCGTAAACGTTGTAGCATACGGGGTGCCCATCTTTGCTGTGTCCATGCATGAACACAACTCTCTCCCATTCACTCCCGGTTTCCAGATCTTCTTCTAGAAGCTCCTCGATTTTGAATTCTTTTCTCCAGTTGATGGTGTTTTTCAGCATTGTCAACGCTTCTTTCACCTTGAAATCTCTGGCTTGCAGGAATTTGAGGAGAATTACGTCGGTTTTGTCGTCTTCCATGAGTTTGATCCCCCAAATGGACACCGCTTCTTCCGGCTGCTGGTTTTCTGGGCTTGTGTTGGATTGAACAGAGGTTTTAGCATCTTCCGAGGTTGAAACCGCGATTATGGTCTCTGCAATGGCTTCCACCGTTTTGGCTCCGTCGTCGGTTTGGGATTCTTCAGATTGAACTGAAGGCTCGGAGCTTGTGTCCTCCTTCTCAATACAGCTTCCGATTGTTTTCTTCTCTTCTGTTTTCGTTTTTGCATCTTCTTTGGGGGGAGAATCACTGAATTCGTGGTTTCTGAGAGCATCTTGAACGAGCTTTCTGAATTCTTGGAGTGCTTTCTTGTGAGTTTCAGGGAGCTCGGAAGCTATGGTGGTTTCTTCCTTCATGTTTTCGTTTTCTGAGTCCTTTGGCGCTGTCTCTTCGCCGGAATCTCCTTCTTTTTCCGGCGGCATCTCTGATTCCGGCACCGGAACAGAGTCTACGTTCGCTGGTAATGGCTTCTCAGGCCCTGATGAAACTTCAGCCACAACCACCACTTCCTCTGCAGGCTTCTGAACTTGAACTGCTTCTTCATGAGCCATTGTTGAATGGTTGTAAGTATCAGAGAGAGAGAGAGAGAGAATGGTGATGGAGGTGTGGAGAATGGGAAGAAGGAAGGGGCAGTTTTTGAAGGGAGTTGTAGTTGGTGGTGGGGTTGGACCAATCTGGCAAAGTAAAAAGACCAGCTTTGATTTTAGTCAGACTTCTGCTTTTCTCCTCTGTATTTCTTTTGAATCTTTGAAGTTCTTTTTCTAAAAACCACATTCATTAATTCATATCCGAAAGCAACACATTACAAACAAAGATAGAGGGTCCGAAAATCACTCCGAACAATCAGACATAGAAACTTTCTGAAGAGGGTTAGATGAACTGGACATGTTTGTGAGGTTATGACCAGATTATTAACACACACTCCGTTTAGATACTACCCTGTATAGGTGTAAGAATCATTATACAAACACTTTTAAAAATTTAATATAAGACAATTTAGATACACCTGGTAATTTACTCTTTTATAAGTTTTATTAAGATAGTCGTGAGTCTCGTGTTTAGGAGGTAAACATTATCAAACTCAACAACATTAACTATGTGCTCGTGGCCATGTCATATAACATGTGAAATATAGGGATTTGATATTAATGTGAACATATTCATATTCACAATGTGAAGAAAACGAGTCTTGTGTTTTTTATTTTCTTGGGTAATTTGATTGTTTAGTCATGATTATATATTGTTGTTTTACTGTTATTATCACTTGGTTGATGCAAAGTGTGACACAAATCCCAGAGAGAACAACAATGCCGTTACAATAATTAAGGTTAATGCTTTTAGAGCATGAATGTGTGTGTTATGATGTTAAGGTGTTAAAGCCGGTGATTAAGCAGAAATGGCCACTTTATTAAACTCTCCCATGCTTTTCTTGATTTTTTGTGGGACTATGGGCCACAAAGTTGATCTGTGTTTCGAGTGGATTAGAACTGGCAAAATGGTTATCTTAAAGAAAAACCTTTTCCTTTTGTAATGCTCATCATTGTAATATTTTTTAAGCTATCATTAATTTATGTATCAAATACAATTATACATGAGTACATGACATGTTAGGATGCATGGTATATTTTGAGAAAAAGTATTGAGAATATGCAATACATCTCAAAAAACATACATAATTATATCTAGTGCAAAAAACACTGATACCATTTGATACCCATACAAAACAGATAAGAAATGAGTTAAAAATACTCAATATTGAAATTATATTAAGAAAAAAATGACATTTTTCGTTCTTCAATTATAAATAAATAACACTTTTTACTCTTCAATTATATATTTGTTAATTTTTGTTCTTCAATTGTATGGGAAGTGTCTTTTAACCACTCAATGGTAGGGTGGGGAGGGACCGAGGGAATGCAATCATTATATCGTGGACCAGGGTGCACAGTGTACTGTGGACCCTGGTTCAATACATATATTTTGACTTCATGTACAGAATTCATGTTCATAATGTACAGAATTTATGTTCATAATACACATACACATAAACATGATATAATAAACATGAATTCTATATATTATGAAATTTGTACCATTATAAATATAAATTCTATTTATTATGTTAAGTGATTATGTGTCTTCATTATATCGTGTTTATGTGTCTATGTATTATAAACATAAATTTTATACATTATGAACATAAATTTTATACATTATGAAATTAAATGTATATATTGGACCAGGGTCTATGATATAAATTGCCGAGGGAATGAGGGATTTGCATTATATTATGGATTGCTAAGTTTTAACTGGGCCATAAAAAGACCGACCCACTATATATAGGCTTTTAAAATAAACGCTCAATTTCAAGATGACTAGAGCCCATAAATTCAAAAGGATCAAGCATCTAAAATTTTAAGCACAACCCAAGCCCAATCGTTATATCCTACACCATGGCGCACATAGCACTGTGCGCCGCGCGCCTCTCAAAACGACGTCGTTTTGGGATAGTGTTGGGAGGCGCGGTAGGAAGTTGCTGAGATTATGTGTATTTGTTCACAACGTTATGTGTATTTGTTCACAACGTTATGTGTATTGGTTCATACAGTTATGTGTATTTTTTATACAATTATGTACATTCTTTTTATACAATTATGTACATTCGAATCAGAAAATTTGTGTGTATTATGTTAAGAGTTGATGTGTATTATGTTAAAAGTTTATGTTTATTATGTATTATGTTAGATTATGTGTATTATCTTTTAAAAAGAGTATGTATATTTTGTTATATAATTATGTACATTCATGTATAACATTATGTGTATTCTAGTATAACATTATGTACATTCTTGAACAGCGAGTTTTTTTTTTAAAGAAAAAACTATTGCCATTCACTGAGGCGGAAAATTTCAAAAAAAAAATAATTAAAACGACGTCGTTTTGCATCTGGGCGCATAGTGCAACGCGCACCGTGGTGTAAGATATAAATTGCCACCCAAGCCCATAAACTTATCGAGTGGGAGTGCAACTCTGCAATCATTATTGTGTGGAACATGGTCCACACAAATTGTATGGACCATATTTTGTATATTGTAAAATAATGTGCATTTAGTACAAAAATAATGTACATTCAGTATAAAAATAATGTACATTATTTTTGTACTGAATATATATTATATTGTATAATATACCTACAGTATAAAAATAATGTATATTTAATATATTAAAAATATACTTTTTATTATGATCCACGTAACAGTGTGTGGACCATAATTTGCCGCAACTCTGCAAGCAATGAACAAAAACTAATTTTCAAATTACTAAAAAAAAATAGCACACTGCACTCGCACCGACCTCCAAGATTAATACAATCGAATCATGTACAAACTTTATCTTTCGGTGAGGTTGATTTCCAAGGGTGTATTTGAAATCCATAAAATGATTTTTGAATATTATCTTCTGAATTTTTAATGTTTAAGAGAAGAGATGGTGAAAAATTAAAGTCAACGACAAATTATTTCCGGTTAAGAAGAAAATAAATTTGTTTTATTGAAAAATGATTTTTATTTTTTTTAAAAGTCATTTTTTAAATTCACACGATTTTTTTTCCGCCATCCTTGACTTTTTACCTTCTTTTGACGGCAACCAGTACTCTGCCCTTTTAATTTTTTTTTTTATTTGAAAAAAAAATAGTTGAGCAAAACATATTGTCAAATAGATGTTATCAAATCTTTTTTAGTTAACAATAATTAAAATTTTAATTATACAATTTTGCTCCTTTTTTTTTTTTTTTTTTGAAAAATGAACCAAATACACAAGGACAATTTTCTAGAATGCAACTAAACACGGAAAATAAAAAATATTTTTTAAAAAATAATTCATTTTCTAAAAAATATTTTTCAAAAATCATTTTCATGATTTTCAAACATATTCTAAGGGTGAATGCTTACTTACTATACTCTTATTTTTTACTCTAGGTTAAAGTGTTTTGCTTTGATTATTAAAAAAAAAAACACTTTTTATCTATTCATTTTTTTACCAAATTATATATATATATATATATATATATATATATATATATATATATATATATATATATATATATATATATATATATATATGTGTGTGTGTGTGTGTGTGTGTGTGTGTGTGTGTGTGTGAGAGAGAGAGAGAGAGAGAGAGAGAGAGAGAGCTATATTACATGAGAGTAGTGAGTACATCTATTATTTTTTAGTGTACTATACATTAATCACCATCATAGCTTACTCTATTTATCATCCTCACTTAAATGTTCAATTCATCAGTAACTTACTTTCACCCCTATTTTATTGTCTATACCATTGTCACTTATCATTCGTATTTTATTTATGCAAAAAAAAAAAAAAAAAGATTCAATTTTAAATAAATGTTATATTCTATAAATCTTTAAAAAATAATCTCACACATCCATGAAGTATACAATGGGTGTGGAAATTAAATTATTTAAAATTATACTAATGGTAATGGAAAATGTTATGTATACTCTCATTTTTTATTCACAATTTTTAGTATCACACATAAAATCTTGATAGAGGCATTTGTATTGGGATCCACATAAAAAAAAATGACTTATCAAAACACGATACATCAGTGAATAAAAATTTAGGAAGTAAGATTTGAAAGTATACATGTAATATAACTCAATATAAATTGGTTGCAATTGTACTTTTGCACCAAAAAGAAAGGGAGGAGAAAGCATTAGTTGGCGGAAACCCAAAAGTCAAAATCCTCAACGCTACCTCCCCTCGGAGGTCGCCGTGTTCGGAGATCCAATGCAACAGAGAAACATCCCCCGAGATTATTTTCTTAAAAAGCGAATCAATTAAAAGACAATAATAATTAATTAGTAATATTGTGTTTCGAATTTAATTAAATTAATAAGAACTCAAGTTGATTATGGCAATGGGATGGAATCCCATACCGGCCGACGTCCGATTTCTATAATATTTATCCCACGTGATTTGATCTCATATACACTCCACATTCGCCCCCACCCCCACGTGCTCTGCTTTCACACCCATACTCCTTTCTCCTTCTTCTCATATGCTCTTCAATCAAACTTTACTTCGATTGCAAATCCTAATAATATATATTTATTTTTAAAGGGCAGATCTAATCGTAGTCGTGTAAATAATTGATTTTTTGTTAGTAATCCCGGGTCACAAATATGATATCTTAGAAAAGTCAAATAATAAGTGATAGTATATATTTTTCAATATCATTAATTTTAGCGTTTTAGAATGTTTGAGCTAATCTAGCTAAAATAGTAGTATAAATAGTAAAAATGACTAAAACCTAATTTATTAATTTAAAATATCACAGATTATTGAAACTAATGTGACACTTTCCCATACAATAATGACAGCTCATAAGTGAATATTGTTCACAACTTTACATCATTGGTTTGATGAACTTTTAAGACTTAATCGACTTCAATTTTTTAAGTTTTGTCAAATTTATTATACTTGGCCAATTGGACTAAATTAATCTCTAATATTTCATCATATATAATATGGTTTGTATTGTGTCCTGAGTCAGTTTGTATAAATTAATTTTAGAGGATAATTCGTCATTTTTTTCTTTATCTTTTACTTAATCAATATAGATTACGCAATAAAATATATATATATATATATATATATTCTCAAGAGTTGAAGTAATATTTTTTCTTAAACAAGATATTCATAAATGAGGGATGACAATCCAGTAAAGAGTAATCCAATGAATGAATCATAATTTTTATATCCAAATAATACGAGTCTTATTTTTGTCAACACAGTTTCAATGAAGGTGCGTTGAAATTTGATTTGCCAGTTGCCGCTTCCTCAAACATGATCTGTCATCCATTGAATCTCACTGTCACTTACTCCTCAATATATTTTTATCATTTGTATGAATGCCCATGCATTAATTACACACGTCTCATCCCCACTATAAATACAACTTTCTAATTCAGCCATTTATGCGACGTTTGTCCATGCAGATCATCGTTTCATAAACCTGCAAACATCTACATTTCCGAAAATATCCCTCAAATATATATATCGTTTGTAACTATATCTTGATCTGAGAAGAGAATTGAAATTGAAGGCGGGTAGATACGATGGAGAAGTACGAGCTGATGAAGGAATTGGGATCCGGCAACTTCGGCGTCGCGCGGCTCCTCCGACACAAAGAAACCAAGGAACTTGTCGCCATGAAATACATCGAGCGCGGTCGGAAGGTACTATATATACACCCAGCCGTTTTGATTTATTATATATTCATATTCATGTCGAATGAAACTCGCCGATCGCGTTTGTTCGGTCGGATAATGTTTTTGAACCTCGCCGCCCGCTTACGCTTGTTTTCTTCGATTTTCGAATGTGTTTTTCGTTAAGATTGATGAAAATGTGGCCAGAGAAATCATAAATCACAGATCGCTCCGCCATCCCAATATCATACGCTTTAAAGAGGTAGGCCTATCAAAATTTCTCTGCATTTTCATGGATTTTCCTTGTATTTATTATTATTATTTTACTTTTTTTTTTTTTTGCTTGATTATATGTACAGGTGGTTTTAACACCAACACATTTGGCTATTGTGATGGAGTATGCAGCTGGTGGAGAGCTGTTTGATCGCATCTGCCAAGCTGGTAGATTCAGTGAAGATGAGGTGATGACTGATTTTATTTCATTCGTTTATTATATATATTTTCTTCTTTTCTGTATTTTTTTAAAATTATAAATATAGATAAAAGCTTAGAATAATTGCATTTTTTTTTCTGGGTTTATATCTTCAGGCTAGGTACTTCTTTCAACAATTAATATCTGGGGTCAACTTCTGCCATACCATGGTATGCCCAGTGCCCCCATTCATGATTTATCTATGATTTTAGGGAATAATAATTAATACAAAATGTTTATTATAATTTGCTAATTAATTTTGCAGCAAATATGCCATAGAGATTTGAAATTGGAAAATACTCTATTAGATGGAAGTCCAGCACCTCGCCTTAAGATTTGTGACTTCGGATATTCTAAGGTATCATATTTCAAAATTACTTGCGTTTTTGGACTATGGTATTATGTTGTTGACAACAAAAGAGTATAGTCCATAAAAAGGAGACTGAAAGAAAATAAATTGTTAACATTTATTTATTTTAAAAAAGAAATTGTTAACATTGTATTAGTGATATTTTATTTAAATATATGTTTAATTAACACTCAATAATGTTGATTGTTTAGTCGTCGGTGCTGCATTCAAGACCAAAGTCGACAGTAGGAACTCCGGCGTACATAGCGCCGGAGGTTCTCTCTCGCCGAGAATACGACGGCAAGGTACGTTGTTTGTCTGTTTGTTTGTTTTTTTCTCCGAATAGTTCAACGTCGTACTCGTACATGCATGTTTGATTTTGATAGAGTTAATTGTCATCTTACATTAGTTTGGAAGTTTGTGAAAACAAACTATAAACGTGAATTAACGTTGTTTAAGAAACCCATAAAAGTGTTGTGTTGAAGCAAATGCAAGCTGTCAAAAGCACATGGTAATGGAGTTTTTGTTCATTAATTTGCTCACTTTACGTTAGAGACGACACAATTGGCATGTGGCCATGTGATTTGGAGCAGATCGAGACTAATTGTAATTTGAGTAAAGGCAATTAAATAATAAAAATTATTATTTAATCATTAATTCTCGAGTAGTGTTCTCTATTTTTAATTGACTGAGTAAGAAAATATTGTTCGGTTAAAAGTAATGAAAAATTTGGTCAAATTGACTAATAATAAGTTGTTTGGTCAAGGTGTTTTCAAACAAGCTTGAAAGGTGAATTTATGTATTTTTACAACAAGACAAGAGATTTTGTCCATTTCTGTAGTTTTGTTTTGTTGGATTTTTAACTTTTGTTGGAAAAGGATTAAACATTGTCCCCTTTTGAATGAACAGTTGGCGGACGTATGGTCATGTGGGGTGACTCTTTATGTGATGTTGGTTGGAGCATACCCTTTTGAAGACCCTGACGATCCCAAAAATTTCAGAAAAACCATTTCAGTAAGCTAAGCTGTTCAAACCAATTACGTATTACTTGTTTTGATTAATGCACAAAGAAAAACATTTTTGTGATGTGGATTTTTAACGTGCAGAGAATAATGAATGTTCAGTACAAGATTCCAGATTATGTTCATATATCTCAAGATTGCAGGCATCTTCTTTCTCGCATATTTGTTGCCAGTCCTTCCAGGGTACCATTTCTGCAATTTAACCTTTTTCATTTACTGTTTCACAGAAGGGACTTCAAAAGGAAAACTAAAAACTTGTTCATTAAATTAAATCATTAATCTGCATTATAATGACAGTGTAACATCACAGTAATTGTTCTGAGAAGTTTAAGTATGCACGATAATCATATATTTGCATAGTTAATAGTGTAACTCCATGCCAGCTGGCACATGGCCAGATGAGTTTAAAAATCAATCATCCCTTTCCAACCAACATGGCACCATTAGTACAGTCTGCAAGGAATCCGGCTATGTTACAATGTAATATCTGTTCATCTGAGACTCAGATATATATAGAATAGAAGGAATGAAATGGAGTTGATAAATTGGATGCAGAGAATCGCACTAAAGGATATAAAGAACCACCCGTGGTTCATGAAGAACTTACCAAGAGAACTGGCGGAATCAGGTCAAGCAATGTACTACCAGAGGAACAACGCCACCTTTTCGGGGCTGCAAAGCGTGGAGGACATCATGAAAATCGTTGGGGAGGCTAGGAATCCCCCGCCATCGTCCCTCACCATCCCCGGCTTTCCCTGGGGAGATGAAGACGCAGACACAGCAGATAATAAAGAGGAAGTAGTGGTAGTAGGTAGTGATGTGTATGACGATGACGAAGACGAATATGCCAAGCACGTCAAGCAGGTTCATGCAAGTGGAGAATTTCACATCACCCAACCCAATTAATCTATCTCATCTTCAAATTAATTCGCCGCTGTAGTGATTATAGTTTAGCATTTCAAGATCATGATGATGATGATGGCCAGCTAGCTAGCTAGCATGCATGCTATAGAACATGCATTTTATTTTATTTTATTTACAAATATGTAGTCTAATCTTTCGTGTAATATTATCAACTTCAACCCCCAAAAAAAAGTATTTTCTAGTCTAGATGATAAGTATAAATATTCACTAATAGTAAGATGACATACTTCAAATAAAGCAAGCAAAAGAGTTCAAATCTAATAGCTGCTTGCCTTTAATTAGTCACTTCTTCCTTTATAACAGGCTGGTCTAAAAACCCACAAAATGCCTTCACATACATGCAAATCATATACACTACGCACAAATAGTGCGCATATTTGAACTGTTAGTGTGACCAAAAGACTTAGGAGTGAGTATAAGATTAGAGAGGACTTAACTTCCCCTTCGTTGCCCTTCTCTTGGTCATGAGGCACAGCTCGTCCTACCTTTCTGTATATATGTTCAACAACCCTCGAGACTAGGTAAACTGAGGCCTTGAAGAACGAAGCACGTATGAGAATATAGAAGAGGAAACCTGAATACTATAACTTCTATTTTTGAGTACAAGGTTCCCACATATCAAGAAACAATAATTTGTGTGTAGGAGATTGATCGAGCCGTGGTAAAAGATTCCTCTTTCAAAGATGGTCTGAGGTAGAGATAAGGATGTCGGGATGATCAATGAAAGAAAGGCAGTACACCCCATTGGTGCAGAAAGCCCTCCCCAGTGGTCACTTCCAGGACGAGCAAAACAAGCACTGCCAACATAGCTGCTCTTCCATTCCATGTTTCTGCACTTTTCGTCCAACCCCATTCCCAGACTACCACAGGTGGTGGCAGTTCCCTGCGCTGTGAATCGTATGCCGCCAATAGCTCTTCCACACTGCCAAGAGGAACCAAGGACTGCACAAACCAAATGTCCAGAAGAATCATTAGTCCATTGGATTCACCGTATCTGTTTCAAAGGACATTAAGGGAAAAACAAAGCATTCATCCATTATAATTAAGGAGTTAGCATTTACCTGCCGAGCTTCAAGATTTGAGACTGCCATTGCTCCCACATAAGGAAGACTTTCAATTACAGCATCTGCCAAATCAGAAATAAAATTGGGTTCACAACCTAGTGCAGGAACACGGCCCCAATTCTGTATACCAGACTCCAGAGCTAACTCCTTGTACTCAACATCAATTTCCTCTAATGTCTCGATATGTTCACTGACAAAACTGCGAATATCCAGAGATCTAAATATATAAGCATCAGCATAATGTGAAAAGTAGTGCTTAAAAGTTTAGATCAGGAATAACACCTTATAGGGACAGCAAGGAGACTTTTCACCCCTTTTCGGCCAAGCTCAATGATTGTCTCATCTGTATATGGTTTCAGCCACTCAACAGGTCCAACCCTACTCTGCAGCATAATAAACCAACTATAGTTAATGATTTAATATTTACAACACCCATCAGAACAAAACACAAAGGACGGTTTCAGATGATTAATTGCAAACCAATTCTATGTTACTTCTTTGGTTTGGTAGGAGTTAACTTCCATTTGAGGAAGACTCAAAGTCTAACTTAAATCCAAATGTCCATTACTAGAAAACATAGGATGTACCTGATATGCAAGAGTATACGCATTATTTATTTTTCTCTTCTCCAGTTCTTCCATTATCAAGTCCACGCATTCCTCCATCTCAGCCTTGTATGGATCACCTGCTTCCTCAACATAGGCCAGAGGTACACCATGAGCACTGAAAAAGATCATCACCTACATACAATGAAGCTTCTTAATAATGATAACAGATAAGTATAAGTTTCAGCCTCAATATAATCTACTTCAGGCCATACAGATAGAGAGAGGCAGAGGGAAAAAGTGAATTCCTTCCACTCTTCTTGAGGTACTTCTTTCAAATCTCACACTCTTAAGTGATCTCAAACATAAATAAGAATTCAAATATCAGCCTGTCTGTATCACATCACATATGTGTTTCATATTTGAGGTCCATGTTTCTTAGGCAAAAGAAAATATATGCTCTTACACAAGGTATAGGAAATATTTGTATGGAAATAAATACCTCCCGGGGATATTCAAAATTTTCCAACTCCTTTTGAATCAAATCAGCCATGGCTTTAATATATCCTTCGCGTTGATACCAGGAAGGAATTACTGTGTGCTGCATGTTGACTAGATATTCATCCTCCCTGAAACAAAATACTCATTGCTATTTCCATGAGTTTCTGCACAATTAACTATGTGGCACACAGTACAATAAAAAAAGACTGCATCCATACCGAAATATACTTTCTAATAGTCGAAGGCTTGAACCACTAGTAGATATAGAGAACTGGGGGTAAAGAGGGAGCACAACAAGTTTTGTGATTCCATCTCTTTTGATCTACAGAATTAAAAGCAAAAACAATTTAAAACAATTAGCTAAACCCATTCATATGATCATATCAACAATATCAAGTATGAAGTACTTCAAAAAGAACAAGAAGTAAAAATAAAAACACCCATAAATCACAATCACAATAGCATCTCTTCAAACAAGAAAAGCTTTGTAAAATAAATAAATTATATTTGCTCTTCATAATCTTAGATCTATATGTTTCTTCTAAAGTTGCTGTAACTAAAGGCTTTTTTTTTTGGGTCAGGATGTTGCAAATTGAGGCAGTATGAGAACTATTTATAGGCTTGCAATGCCAAAAATAATACTGAAGTTGTAGTGCAAGACCTGCTCAATTGCTTCCTCGGTGAATGGGTGCCAGTAGCGCATACCAACATAGACATTTGCTGGAACATTCTTCCCCCAAAGTGCTTCCTTCAATGCTTCAGCCTATAAAATAATAATTGTCATTTAAAACAAAATTACATAAGAAACTAATAATAATAAGCAAATATATACGGCTTTAATATGACATTATGAATCCCTTATGGTTAAAAGAAACTAGAGAGGCTTCAGTACAAACAAAGGAAACGGTAAGAGGTGAATGATCAACTTGTTGAAATTGACAACAAAATTTTATGCATACTATCTCACATAAGGATTTAGTGACTACATAATGCTCAATGGTTCTATCAGGTAGAACTTTCATTTTCTAGGCTCTGAAGTTTCCTAGAAAAGTAGCAGTCAGTACAGGCCAACATACAAGTTGCACTGCTCCTTCATTGTACATGGTAGAAAGAAATATAAAGCTCCTACAGCTTTTGAAGTTCATCATTCAGGAAATGAGGACTTCTCTCATATCTCTCTTCATCTCACTTTTACTAACTTCAAGTCCTTAGCTGAAAGCTTTGACTTGTTACCTCCACAACTATCTCCTTCAGGCTTCAGGGTCATTTCACAATCAGACAAGAGTAGCCATTTGAATGCTTTACTACATTACTATAATTAGAGCTATCTAAAGCATTATTAAGTGAGATTATAACTGCATATCATGCCTGGGCATCAGTTATCCGTCGAAGAGGAGAGCCACCGCCAATCGAAGCATATCCTTCCTTGCTCTTTGGAGCTCTAGCAACTGATATGAATTGAGCCAAGGGCTTTTGCAGAAACCTGAACAGCCTCGGCAATCGAATTATATCCTATTCGAACCAAACATTTAAGTTACAGAAATGAGAAAACCGCTGAGAGAAGAGTAAAAATCAGCTGAAATTCTCAAAAGCTCACCGGATCAGCAAAGAGGTTAAACAAAAAAGGCTGTACGTCCTCGAGAGTTTCAGGACCGCCGAGGTTGAGCAGCAAAACACCGATCTTTTCCCCTGCAACGAGGGGAGCGGTGGATACTTGCTGAACAGTGGAAGTAACTAGCGATTGTTCAGCGGAAACCACAGAACACCTAGCGAGTAGAGAAGATGATTTGGGCCTCGGATGTGGCTGAAATTTAGGTCTGAAGCAATGACAAGAAGAAGAGGTTCTTTGAGAAGAGCAGAGAGAAACTGAGCGCGTCGGAAGCATTTGTTCGGTCTTCGACGGCAGCCATGGGGAGTAGGTGACACTGTGCGGCGTCGATGGGGAAATCAACCGGCAGGTAACTCCTGGCGCCATGGCAGGTAAGGTAGAACTTCTGTGAGTGGAGATTCACTTCTGAATTTTTCGAAATAATTTAATCGCAAAAAATAATTGAAAAGAAAATGGAGGCTCGTTTGGTCATCTCCACAAATTCCGGATAATAACCGCAAAGCCGCGGATGATTTGAGTCCACGCCAATCGGGTCGCAGTCGGGGTTAGATACGGACCGCACCTGATTTTTTTGCTTTTATTATTATTTTCATTTTCATTATTTGTCAAAATGAATTAATAATAGCTTAGGCGAGTTAATTATTTTTATATTATGAGTTTGGTTTGGGAGTTCTCATTACGAAGTAGGCATAGTATAATTTCGTAGGCAAAAGTATTCATTATGGCCTTATCTTGTGTTAGGAAATGACTTTGAATAGGCTTTTAAAATAACTTATCTATAAATAGAGATTAGGTTTATAAACATGTTCAAAAGAGATCTAACATGTGAACGGATTAAAAGTTAATTAAAAATTTGTAATTATTATTTAAGAAGTGCATTGCGAATAATAAGTTTAAATTAATAAGATTAATAAGTCACTATAAAGAATCAAATTATAACCTTTTAGTTACTAAGATAATAGTTTGACCAATTTCATTAAGCTCGTTCAGCCTTTTAACTTTTTGACGTTTGGCTATCTTTTAGTGTTTGTTAATTTTTTTTTTTTTGAGTATTATTAACTCTTTTACAACCACTGTTATAAAAATCAACTTAGGCGGTACTTATTAGGCGCTCAAAAATCGATTGGCCGTCTAGCGACGAAATCGACCGAAATCGATCAAAATCGACCTAGTAGACCAACTCGGCCGAGTCTTTCAATTTCATATGATGTCGTCTGGTTCAGCTATCCGTAGACGAGTATTTTTATTTTTTTAATATTCTTTTGATATTATAACTTATGAATTATCATTATTTCATTTATTTAGATGTGTTATTTGATTGAATGTTGAAAACAACCTCATCAAAATTGTCAAACCCGCCTATCGCCACCTAGATTCCGCCTATGCGCTAGGCACTGCCCGACTAGCGCCTACTGCAACCATAATTACAATATAGTATCACTTCATGCCACTAAACCACAAGTAGTATTATTTTAACTAAATTTATATAATCATGTCAAAAAAAATTGTAATTAAAGAAAATAGAATGTGGACCTATTCATGAAAAACCATGACTTAAGCAAAAGGGACAACACAGAATGAATTAAATATCAAAATTGTGATGTCATTTGAATTCCCTAGCTACATACCAAAGGAGCCCTGTGCTGGTAAACGATAAAACAAAAACCAAGATTCATGAAAGGACATCATAACATTCATATGCCTCCAAACACAAGGATTCATCAAACACTCAACAGCAACTGCCTCCATCTCAAGTCCAATGGAAACCAAAACTAGCCACAATGTACACAAAACCCATATTTTACCACATTCCAGGGAAAGTTAAACGAGGACAACTAGGAACCATACCAGTCGGGCTCAATCGCTAAAATCCATGCTGCCACTGCGGGAGCTGCTGGCGTTGCGACTATGCAAGGAAAGACCCCTCATGTGACCTGATAAGGCAGAACCATCTGACTTGTTTTCTTGAAAAAACTTCTCCCTCTCGGCATGTTTTGCAGGTGGAGGTGGAATTGCTGCAGCCGCTCTCCCCAAATCCCGCTCTTGCTTCTGCTGCTCTGAAGATACCGGTCTTATGAGTGGGCGATGCAGCAGCATATTCCCTGGAATGGATGCTCCCAGCAATCCCGATGGGCGATCTTCATCCTCGGGTTGAAGAAGAGCCTTTCCTTTTCTCATTCTATAAAAATTTTGGCTCGAATCAGAAATAGGGGAATACCAGGCCACTTAAAGAGCATCCATGAGATGTGACAAGTCATAAGTATCACATAAATACCATTATTTTTTTCTTTAAGAAGCAACATTAGCTATAAATGGATAAAATTCCATTATCATACAACAATGGCTACATGTGATTGTCTATGCGTGCCTCTGCAACATATAACATACCTTCGGGAAAGCTGCTCGGGCTCCTCTTCCTCTGGTTGTTCATAGTCAGCATGAGTTGAAATCCCGGTTGGTTTAGCAGATAAAAGCGCATCATGCCTTTTAAGAACTGTATCAAGCTGTTCATTGAGCTCAACTGCTCTAGAAACAATCATTTCATCCCTGAAGAACGTCAACAGTCATCAATTATAGACTCCACGGAGTGATCAATCTCATTTTTAAAGAGCAAAAGGGAAGATTTCATGACGAATCTGACAGATGCTATAGTCTGACAACCTTAAGACTGTTAAAGAGTATAATTCGAGACAAATATAGTCATAACAGTTACAATTAACACAAGACAAATCCAGAAAAATAATATTCCCTAATCACAAGCCTGTGCACTATTCCTGAATACCAATCTGATGCTTTTTGTCACTGAGCCTTTAGGCCGAGAGTCATATCTTCTTTATACCATGTTTACACTTCTACAACATACTACATAGTAAACATATATGGTGAGAAATTATTACCGAGAAGTCATGGCTAGATGCATTATTCTTTGCTTCTGAAATGAACATTGCTCCACGAGATCAAGTGTGAACTCATCCCTTGCTCCCTTGGAGGAAAAAAAGAATTAGAGTCAAATCTAAACATCTAATCAGACAAGTCTAACTCATGAAAATCGAAAAACCATTTAAATTAAAACACTATTTGAAGGCCTTGAGTTAATAAATAGACACAGGAGACGGCAGTACCTCAGGATGTTGAAAGTCAACAGCATCAAGTACATCCCTTAAGACTTCCAATGCAGCACTGGCCTTATGCAGAATACTGTGCAAATACAAATGCTTTAAATATTGAGAACACAAGATATTATATTGATACATTCACTCTTTACTAAATTATATTCCCCTTTCAATAAATTTTGCATCCATAAAATCAGCAGTGTCATTGTTTAGAAACTCAAATGATGAGAAAGAAAATTGTTGGGCATTAAGCATTATAATGTATATATAAATGCATAAGTCAAGAAAATTCATATATGACCACTGTTGAGCTTGTAAAGGAATTTGACAAAAGAATATAAACAAAATTTTCTCTTTCCATTATTTAATTTTAAAGAAATAGACTACATATACAGGTGCCAGGTGGTGTGTCTCAGACTCTCAAGGTAATAGGACAAGTAATTCTGAGCTACTTAGTACAGTACGTTACAGAGCATTTTTCTTCCCCTATTAACAGACCATTCGATAAGTGATACCTTGAATCAGAAACTTTTTGAGGCTCCGCTTCTGGCACATTCTTTTCAAACTGAGAAGGTTTGCTCTCACAAGGATTAATCCTATTATCATTGGATGATGGGCGATGCTCTTTTGGGACAGCATTCGGTCTTTCAGGAAACTTCACTCCTGCACTCTGAAAAAGTCACATTTCACGCATTATTTTTGCATCCTGTTTGTTGTCAACAAAAACTCGGAACACCAAAAGTCCAAAACATACTTCCAACAAATTTTAAGTGATCACTTGTAATAAAATGAGTTAATGTCCAATTTAGTCCTCGATTATAGTGGTTTTTCTCGATTTAGTCCTAAACGACTTTTTGTGCTTAATTAGGTCCTCGACTTTGATGGGTTTACCCAAATGAGTCCTTGGATGTTAGAATCAATGATTAAATCAAGAAAAATCACTATAGTTGAGAACTAAATTAGGTAAAACCACTATAGTCGAAGACTAACTTGGGTAAAACTACTACAGTCGAGGACTCTCCTCCTGACAACTCACCTTGACCAGGCAGGGTCTTGCCCTGCTGATGGGTGGCGCTGATTGTGTTAAAACCAAAACAATTGGATATTAATAGAGACGAAATTACCAAGCTATCTTAAGAGAGGACTCAATTGGGGTAAAACCATCAAAGTCGAGAACCTAATTAAGCACAAAAGTCGTATAGGACTAAATTGGGTATTAACTCTAATAAAATATATTGGAAAACAATTTGGAAAGAATGAATCTATATATTCTGAAAAGATGAACACCCTCTCATCTCAAAGAAACCATTAAGCCAACTATTTAAAGTCACTAGTGGCAACAAAATTCCTTTTTCCCCGACCTTTCTTTTTTAGTGTCAAAAGATAATATCTCTGGAAGTTAAATGTCTATATCTCCCACAGCAGAATAAATTAAAATAAAAAGGGAATAGTTCAAATGTCTTGTACCTACCACCAGCTCATAATATGCAGAATAATATTGAGGGAATCTCCCAGAAGCCCCACCAACGGAAGTCTGTGCAGCATCTAGAAGAAGAAATATCTTTTCTCTCACGGGTACATCTGACTATAGAGCAAGTATTAAGGAATTTATAATTCAAACTAAACTGATAAAGATAGTAAGAATTGCACAGAGAAGATAAAGAACCTTTTTCTTTACTATCTTTACAAGGACTGGGAGAATTCCTGTATCTATAACCTGCTTGTGAACAGGATCTCCGATATTGTTCATTAGCATCTCCAGCAACTGTATAAAATTAAATGAGCATACAAAAAGAATTCTTGAATATGGAGAAACAAAATTTATCACTATTTGGTGCTAGCAATATAGCAGGTACCAACACAACTACGGCCAATGAAATGGAAATTGAATTATAACCAATAGAAATTTTGTCTGTGGAGTAACTTACTGTCACCGCAAACAATTGAGTAGTTGGACTTTTACTACCAAGGCGTTTCTTTATAGCTTTAATAACATCTTTAGCTTGCCTGAACAAATCAAAGGAAGTCAATTTTAAGCTAATCAACTCATCAAATAGTCAACTTTGTGTTGAATCTTTGTCCTCCAAATCGCACAAAGCACTACTTGGAGGAACATTTTCTCATGATAAAGGTACACATATTTAATGAAAACCAGCCTAAACAAGAATCTGACGTAGCCTAAAAACACTGACAACATCAATTAGATAATGAAACTGATATGTTATACCCGTGATCATGAGCAACTAATTCACAAATTTTGATGTTTTTCATCCAATCTGTCTCAGTAAGTTTATCACTTGTCGCAGAATTAACAAGTTCTGCAGCCATCTTCCTTTCCAGGTGTCAGCAATATGCATGAAGTAATCTTCCTATGGATGTTTGATGGAATATGTACCCCAAACTCCCCAAAGCAATGCTAAAAAAAGCTTGTACTTTAAAGCCCTCACGTAAAGAAGCAAAGCATGTGCCTTTAACCAAAACTCTTGGCTCCCAAGCTTCTTTGAACTGAGTCTTGAATCCAGCTCCCCCGAGCAGCTTCTTTTTCTATCTGTATGAAAATTCATTTAACCTCCGAAACTACTAAGTTTTGATACTCCATACAAGTTAAAGTCTTACCAATTCAGAAACAGTAAGCTTTGCCCAAAGAAATGGGTTATCTGAACAACAAGCAATATATGATAAAGGACTATTCCGGAAATTGAAACAACAAATTTTTTACTTTCAAGGACAACAATTATGCATCTATGCTCTCTAGATTGAACTACTAATCAAACACATAAACTTCGAATCCTTGATTTGATAAAGGATATTACTTTCACTTAACATTTATGCAATCCAAATCTCAACCAAACTTTTAATCAACCACAGAAATCAACAGAACAATCCAGAACAAATTCCACTTTCGGGTGAACATCAAAATAATCAAAGTAACGTCAATCACTAATTCATAAACCTCAAGAACTAATTTTAGGCTCATTAATCAATGATACATACCTTTGAAATCTGCAGTGATCAGCTCTTTATCTGATAATTACGCACACACCTACAGATTCATTGCAGAGATACATACACAGGAAATATGTGTGTGTCTGAATATGTTAATAAGTAAATAAATTAAAATACTGATGAAGAACAGCAAATGAGAGAGAGAGAAAGAGAGATTCTCTGATTGACTCACTGGGAAGGCTTCCTTTCAGCAGTTTTTAATTTATCTCTTTCTTAATTACAGAGAAACCCCATAAATAAAGAAGAATAATCTCTTTGAAAAGAGAGAGAAAGAGCGTTGAAAGTGATGGTTGTAGGAAGAGCTGGATGTACAGCAATGACGGCTGTCTTCATACGGGCAGGCTTTCCATTTAGGATTAGGAAGTGTTAAAATCCTCCGATCTGTCACTTGATCTAGGTGCGGAGCATATTAATCGCCTTCGGAGACACGTGCCTCCTACTTCCACGGTTTACAACACTCATCGTCGCATACAATCATAAATACATCTACCATACCTGCATGGATAGCTCAACTAGTCATAAATGTAAAATTTTGGAAAAATGATAAGGGATCAAGTCTCACCAGCGACAGTGTGGGAGCAACCTCTCAAAGTAAGGGGGTTCCTTGTGCGCAGTGAGCACCCGAGCACCGGTCGTCTCTGTGATTCATGTTTAGTTAAATTACCATGATTTACACCATCCCAAATGCTCTGTTGGATCGAAGATTCATGTTTAGTTAAATTACCATGATTTACATCATCCCAAATGCTCTGTTGGATCGAAGATTCGTGTTTAGTTAAATTATCATGATTTACATCATCCCAAATGCTCTGTTGGATCGAAGTGTGAGGGCTCTTATGGTTGGGATTCAACCTTTTGGAAGAATAAATACATCTTCCACATTCACAGGTTTAGATAAAATTTCACTTGATTTTTAAGGTAATTTCAACTTTAAAGTTTAAACTACAACATTAAATAATGTTAAGAAGAAAAGATTTCCACTTCATTTGTAACAATTATATACAATAAAAATAATTAAGCAATTGGGGATAGTAGCATCAAAAAAATACATTAAAAAATGTATACATTAATTACTAAACATTGCAACCTGTTTTAATAAATGAATATTGCACATTTAAACCACTCTTCCTCGATGATTCATTGAAGGGGCCGGGAGGTGGGTAAGGACCTCAAACAGCGTGAACACTAATTATGTCTAATAGCTTTATTATATTTATCTACCATAAACTGAGTTATAAACTTACAATTTCTGATGCTAAACTTAACAAAAATATTTTTAAAAAAAAAATAACTCTAAGGGATATATACAAAAATTATTGTATTAAGCCTAAGGTCCGATCGAAATTATGTTATGAGGGTTTATAACTACCAATCGAGATTATGCTAGGAGGCTTGCAACTACCAACCAAGGTTATGCCAAGGTGCCAATGTGGTTACAACTACCAACACGTAAGCATGTTTGCTTTGAGTGACTCCTGAGTCCCGAGTAAGGCTACTTAATTGATGAATAATCAATGAAGTATGTCTTGGAGGAGTTACTATTTATTGTTGGGAGCAATAATTGAGCCTACAAAAATCTCATAAAAATGTGGCCCTCTGTACTCACCACCATAGGAGGGCCAACCGCGTGTCATGATTTAGAGGGGTGTGCTAAAATATTACTAACATAATAGTTTCTACAAGTTAACACAATTTAATCATTTATATATAAAATTACCATGCAATATTTTTTTTGAAGGTCAATCTTGCGATTGTATTAATGAATCAAAGCCGAAATAGCGTCAGGTGGGATAGCATCTCAGTACATAGCTTGATCCTGTGTAAATGCTAACGTAGCTAAAGTATGCGCATGTAAATTAACCTGTCTAGAGATGTAATCTAAAGTAATACGATTAAATAAAGCCATTAACGTTCTGCACTGGTCAATTGTGACCCCAACGTACGAATGGATCGGCGTGTGATGGCGTCGGATAATCGTAGCCAATTCCATGCAATCCGTGAGTAAACTTACTGATGTGGTGTTCCGTTCAAGTAGCCAGGACAGTGCTTCCTTGTATGCCTGGGCCTCCGCCATAAGTGGTGAAAAATAAATCGGTAATTTGCCATTCCTTGCTGCCACAAAAGAGCCATCCGGCGCTATTATTATCATGCCGTAAGTAGGCTCGCCCGTGTCGTGCCAGAAACCCGCGTCTACATAACACCGTAGACCGTCCTCCCCTGGGCCGTTTAAGTGCTCCGTTGCCGCTGCCGGCTTGGTTCGGTGGACATGGGCAGCGCCGTACGCCTGCAGTGCTACGGTGGCTGCTCTGGTTAATTGGGCAGGCCGCATCATTGATCCCTTCCAGACAGCTGAATTCCGGGTTCTCCAAATATAATATAGTATTGCTACCATTAACCGGGTTTGCTCCTCCGTCAAGACCGCCATAGCCCCTTTTAGCCATGTTGTAAAAGAGTCTGCAACAATATTAGTAATAGGCAATTGTGTTATATTCCAAATAAGTCTAGAATATTCACAGAGTACTAAAGCATGTAACACATCTTCATGATCAAAACCACACATTGGGCATGTTGGGTCCACCTCCACCCTTTTAAATATCAAGTTAAGGGTTGTTGGCAAAATGTCACATATGGCTCTCCACAAGAATGTTTTCCATTTGGGGGAACTTTTATTTTCCACATTGCAACCCATTTATCAAAATTCGCTGGATTATTCTCATAACCACCCACAATATGCCTATAGGCATTCTTTAATGTATATGTCCCCTTTGGGTCACTCATCCAATACCATGAGTCCTCATACTCAGGACTAATAGGGATCATATTTATTCGCTCCACATCTTCAGGAATAAATAAGTCAGACAAAATATGTGGATCCCAGGTATGAGTCTGTAAATCAATTAATCCTGCAACTCGTGCCTCTCTCAATTGCTGTGGCATTTCTGTTTGAATCAATGGGCTAGGATTATCTCTTAACCACGGATGTCCCCATATTAAAGTTGTCTGTCCATTCCCAATTCTCCTTCGCACCCCTGAGACTACCATTGCATGGGTTGCCATTATACTTGGGCAATTACCAACAGTTGCATCTTTAAAACTGGTTGTGGAATAATACCTTGCCTTATAGATTTTAGCCACGAGTGTTCCTGGGTCCGTTAAAAAACGTCATGCCTGTTTACCCAGCATAGCTAGATTAAAAGCCCTCAGTTCTTTAAAACCCATACCACCATACTTTTTTGGTATGCACAACCTGTCACATGCCTTCCAGTGTATTCCCCTTTCTCTTCCATTTCCCCACCAATACTTATTCATAGTTCGCTCAATTGACTGACAAACTGTCTCAGGTAACAAAAAAACACTCATCGAAAAGGTAGGCATAGATTGTGCTACACTTTTCAATAATACTTCCTTACCAGCCTGAGAAAGTAACTTTTTACTCCACGAACCTATTCGTTGCCTGATCTTTTCCTCCACATACCGAAAAAACAGCTCTCTTATTTCTCCCTACAAAGGAAGGTAGGGCCAAATATTTTCCAAAATTGGGTGCTTGCACCACCCCCAGACAATTCGCTACCTGCACTCTGTCAGCCTCCTGGGTATTTCTACTAAAACATATATTAGATTTATTATAATTCACCACCTGGCCTGACAATTTCTCATACCTTGCAAGGCACTGCCTTATAACTCCCGCCTCCTGGATATTTGCTTTAAAAAATAGGTGACTATCATCCGTAAAAAATAGGTGTGATACAGGCGGCGCCCCCTTGCAACTCTGCACCCATGTATTGAGTCTGCCAACTGTTCATACTGTAATATCATCGAGAGAGCCTCTGCACAAATAATAAATAAATACGGAGAGAGAGGGTCTCCCTGCCTGAGTCCACTGGTTGGTTTTACGTGCCCCTGCTACACCATTGACCAGAACAGTATAATTAACCGTCGTTACACACAACATAATGAGCTTTATCCACTTCTCACTAAAACCCATAACAGTCAGCATCCTTTCTAGAAAGTTCCACTCCATCCTGTCATAGTCCTTTGACATATCTAACTTCAAAGCACTCCACCCCACTATACCACATTTCTTTCTATTCAGATAATGCCCCACCTCTGCTGCCACCAGGATGTTGTCAGTGATTAGCCTTTCCGGGATAAAAGCACTATGGGATTCTGATATCAATCCTCCCATTAGTGTTTTCATCCTGTTTGCTATCATCTTGGCCATAACTCTGTAAATGACATTACTCAACGCAATCGGCCTTAAATCTGCAACTGTCTCAGGCATCTCCTTCTTCGGTATCAAAACAATGTTAGTATCATTCAATCCCTCGGGGAATATACAGGAATTCAAAGCATTCGTTATAAAGCCAGAAACATCTCCTCCCACTATCTCCCAAAACTGCTGGTAAAAACCTGGGTTTAACCCATCCGGACCCGGTGCCTTATCCGGATACATTGAAAAGAGAGCCTCTTTAACCTCATTAATTTCAAAAGGGCGGTCAAGCATCACATTCTGTTCTAACGTTACTCGCGGGGTTAGGACCCCAAAAAGTGGATCATCACAACTCAATCCACTAGAGGCAAAAATATTGTCAAAGTAATTTTGTATAGCAGCATGCATATCATCCCCCTCCACCCAGTTACCAGCATCACATTTAATACTAGAAATAAAATTCTTTTTCCTACGTGCAGAGGCATACCTGTGATAAAATTTTGTATTCGCGTCAGCCCCGCGTAGCCAGTGCTGCTTAGCTCGCTGCCTCCAGAACACATCCTCATGGGCCTCGATTCGTTTCAGGGAATTCTCAATCTGTTGGTACTCACTTAGCGCTACCAAATCTCGCCTATTTCGTATAGCATCTTGTCTCTGTTGTAGCTGGTTAATTCGTTTTCCGAATTTATGAAACTGGTCTCCCCCCCACCGCATTAATTTTTCTCCACACAACTGCTGGCAATGCAGCAATCCCTCCGTCTTCCCCTCTTGCCAGGCCGTTTCTACTACTTCTTTGCACCCCTCATCTAATAGCCAAGCCATTTCAAACCTGAATCTCCGCGGCCCCCTTCCCCTTGGCATGCAAATCGCATTAATACTTAGGAAAAGGATCGAGTGATCCGAGGCCCGGGTTCGAATATTCTCCAACCATGCATTCTCATTGAGCAGACCCCAATCATTCGTTATTAAAGCCTTGTCCAACCTTTCCTCTATCCAATTCGGTGTCCCCTTTCCCTTCTGCCACGTAAATTGGTGGCCTCTCATTGGCATTTGCATCAAACCACAGTCATCCACAGCATCTCTGAAACCCCGTAACAGACTATTAGGGTACGGATTTTCCCCCTTCTTCTTGTGCTGATATAGCAGATTATTAAAGTCCCCTATCACCACCCAGGGCAACAAGGATCTAGTCTTTAGAGTACCAAGTAAATCCCATGTCTCCTCCCGCCTACCACGTTCGGGGATACCATAGATACATGTCATACGCCATAACTTATTAAACAAGCTTACTTCCACATCAATATGCCCCTGCGAGTAGCTTAAAAGTCTCACCGTATTATTCTTCTTCCATAAAAGCGCCATTCCCCCACTCAAACCATCATTATCAACATAAAACAAACCTTCATACCCAAGCGTAACCCGGATCCGTTCTGCATGTATCCGTGGTACCTTGGTCTCCATCAAGAACACAAAATCAGACTTCTTACTGGACGCTAGGCCCACAATTTGTCGAACTGTGCGTGGATTGCCCAAGCCACGACAGTTCCAGCTCAAAGTACTCATGATGATGGGCGGGGCTGGACACCAGCTCCCGCCATGGACAAGTTTTTTGAAACAGCTGCAATTGTTACATCATCGTTTCCACTATCCTCTCCCCCCTCCGTCCCATGCCTACGACGCTTTGCCGTAGCCACCACCACCTCATCCTCAGACATACTCGTGGGTGTGACACCCCCACTTCCCTGTCCCCCATCCACCACACGTAGCTTGACTCCCAGTGGTCGTGGTTTCCCGCCTACCGGAACAAGCCAGCTATCCCCAACCGCTCTAGGAGCGCTCCGGGATCCACCAGCTCGCATATCTGAACCGTACAGGTACCTTTCGACCGGAATTCCAGCCTCCCTAGCGTGTATGCAGAAAGTGTGCAAGTGACCCATACAACCACAAAAGTAGCAAAACTTTTGCAGCCGTTCATATCTAAAATTTACCCATGCTGTAGTCTCATCCCTCTTCATCAACCTCATCCTCCTTCTAAGCGGCCTATCAACCGAAATTGACACCCGAATACGGTGAAACGTTAACCATGGCGCCCCTTCAAATCGGTCATCATGTTTAACAAAAGAGCCCAAAAAATTCCCTGCCTGCTCCAGAATTGCATGCGACGTGTATCCCTTTGGCATATCATGCAACTGCACCCACATGTCAATCATATCCAGCTCCACATCCACAGGATTCACCCCATCCAACACCTCCCGACACACAAGCGCATTATTCTAAAAAGCCCAGGGTCCCCCATTCAGCACGTATTCCATATCCGTCTTATGGAAAAAAACAAATAAGAACAAACCCCTTTGAATCTCCGTTACCTGTACTCCACGTACCGGTTGCCAAACAGACGCCAGAACCTGCCTCATAAAGTCCAATTTTATCATCTTCTGCGTCAAAAAGCGCCCAACAATCCTCCAAGTCTCCTCCTCCTCCTCCCCATCACCCTCTACCACCGCATCTCCACCTTCCGGCATAAAAACCGCCCCCTCCTCCTCCATCAACGCCATCTCCGCCCATCTATCCGTCAACTCCGCCACACCCACCCCCCCTCGGCCGGCCAGTTGCTGGCCCTTCTCCCCCACCCCGCCCCCTACCGCCTCCCGCCCTCTCCCTCAACCCGCTAACCTCCACCGACATCCCACCCCGCCCTGGAAACCTACTGCCCTCACCACGCCCAACTCCCTCATCCCGGCGCATGCCTTCATGCACTCCATAAACCTTATCTCCCCCCACCCCCCTTGGCGGTCGCTGCCAACCTTCCATACCCCCCCCCCCACCCCCCCTAACGGTTCGTCGATCATCAAACCCCCCCTCCATAGCTCGATGATGATCAACCCCACCCCCCTCACTGGTTCGTCGTCCATCAAACTCCTCCTCCACAGTTCGGCGTTGGTCCCCCAAACCCCCGCCACCAGTTCGCCGGTCGTCGCGACCACCGTCCAGCGTTCGGCGCCCATCTTCCAACAGCCCTTGATCAACCCCTTCCATATCAGCCAACCCTCCCCTCCGTTCACCTTCCATAGTTTCAACACCGGCCATCGACCGGAAGAGAAGAAAAATGCCGATGAAAACCTAGGAGTAAAACCTAGTAGAAACGCAAAAACCCTAGAGAGAATTTTCTAGAGAGGGAAAATTTTTAATTACCATGCAATATAAAAACACCAAAATATTTAATAATTAAGTTTATATTTTACCTTATGGAATTTGAAATCTATTTGTATGTGTGAACACATCATTTAAGGTACGAGAATCATGTGCATTGCCTTTTCAGTTCCCACTTAGCAAATACATGTATACTAAAAAGTGATAGAGCAAACACATTTTGTGTTGTTTCACCTTTACACCCACAAAATATTTTATTTTGATTTTAGTTTTTTAATACCTAAACACACAAAAAAATATTTTTAAAATAACTTCTAGAAGTCATATTTTGAGTTACCTAACGTATTCTAAACATGAAAATTCAAATGTCACCTCATCTCTTGAATGCTCGCGCAACGAGATTATTTACTTAATTGCGATGGACCACCACTTAATGAGGTACATTAGATATAATATGTAAAAAAACATATAACTGTAAATCTGCAATATTGTATTAGGCTAACATTATTCCTGCAAATCTCTCCCACTTTTAAAAATATGTCTTACTTCCACATCATCCCATTTGCAAATCATCTACTATTCATACTACATCCCTACAAATTCATCTCACTCTAAAAAATGGGTCGCGATCATATTATATTATAAATTATAAATTATAAATATAATAATATAATAATATTAAAAGAAATAATAATAATAAAAAATCAAAAGATGCGTGCTTGGCAGCCCTTTTCAATTTTATCCTCTCATTTGCAAATTCTCTCTCTTCTTGCAAATTTTGTAAATTCTCTCCCCTCTTGCATTACACTTGGTATTAAATAATAATTTAAACAAATTCTCTCTCTTGCCAAGTAAGCTTGCTAATCTCTAATTTGTAGGGATGTGGTTAGCCTTAGGTTTTCATATCAAATGTTTATTACCGAAATGGTCTCTCGACTATTGCGAAATTACTAATTTGGTCCTCGACAAATTTTTTTGTCCAATTAAGTCCTCGACTTTGAAAATGTTAACCAATTTAGTCCTCCGTTAAAATTTCATCCATAAACTGTTAAATTGAAGGATAAAAATGTAATTTCATATATCTTATTTATTAAACCTTCAACCCCATAGCTTTCAGGATAAAAATGCCGGGGATTTGACCGGAGACGGCAAGCGGTTTTCCTCTGCAATAATCGCCGATCTGAAAACATGGCTGAGCTCCGCCATAACAGATCAAGAAAGTGTGGCACACATTTTATCGATTCTCGGCGACTTCTGTTCATAAAGTGAATGCATTGCGATGAACAACATATCTCAATCTCTGTCTCTCTGTATCTATTTCTGGGGAAAACAAAAACAAAAAACAAAAACAAATCGAAAGGGTTGTTGAAAGTTGAAAATAGAGGAATCATTGCGAAACAGAGAGAGGCAACCGCCCTTTCAACAAAATCCCACCTCTCTGTCGCTCCTTTCTTCCTTTCTGGGCTACAAACCTAAATCTCAGGTTTGGACCAAGAAGAAATTATTGAATGGTGTTTCAAGTTTGGACCAAAAGGCAAAGGTTATATATAAGCCTCCTATCACATTCTTCTTGACTTCTTTCGACTAGCAACATGGATCACTAAATCTGTGACCATCTTCAAATGTAGAATTCCTAAGACCCTAATTAACCATTAGCTACTTTTGAGATCATCATGTTAAATTCACTTCATTCAAATTTGGCAGCTTGTATCTGGTGAATGTGTAGTAGAAAAATGAGTTATGGGACATGCATAAACTCCAATCGTGCAGAGACGACCCCATGAGATAATTTGTGGCCGAGATAGAGAATACAGTAAGATCAAGCTTCAGTCAATCTCAAGCGAGGAACAATGTTCATTGATTGAAGCTCCTGTAAAGATGAAATCATCAACAGGATTTAAGATACCAATACAGTCTTCCACAGTAGGGGGCAGTTAAAAATAATAATAGAATGAGAAATGCCCACAAACACAAAAGCAAAAAAAAGAGAAAACTAGACTGAACTGCAATTTAGAATATTGATGACCCACAATAAGCTTAAATAGTTGGGGGTATTGTGCCGCTAACTCTACCTGTGGTAAGCGGCGGGTATAGCAATATCAACCAACTGAACCAAGCATACCTGGAGAAGAAGCTTGAATTGCATGCATATGGCAACTTCATGGTAGATGTATTATCCCCATTTTTACATGTTGAACAAATGCCAGTCTTCAGTTTGTAGTTATAATATCCCAACAAATCACACTTTCGACACACCTACAATTCAAAGTAAGAGCAATGTGAAGGCAATAATGTTGAAAGAGCAATCGTGGCTCACATTTTCTCGATTCTCGGCGACTTCAACATTCCGATCCACCGGAAACTACTGGCGGCGAATCAAGACTCGGATGGATTCCCGGAATGGGTTAGATCCGGCGACAGGAAACTGCTGCAAAGCCAACTTCTTTGAAGGATTAAAGATCCGGTGACCGGTCAAATCCCGGGCATTTTTTATCGTGAAAGCTATGGGGTTGAAGGTTTAATAAAGAAATATGAAATTACATTTTTGTCCTTAAATTTAACAGCTTATGGATGGAATTTTAACGGAGAATCAAATTGGTTAACATTTTCAAAATCGAGGATCCAATTGGACAAAAAAAATTGTCGATGACCAAATTGGTAATTTCGCAATAGTCGAAAGACCATTTCGGTAATAAACTCTAAAAATAAGTATACAATATCAAATATTATTACATTATTTATGTTGATTATGTTGGGTAATATGGTTGAAAATCCCAAAATAATAATAATCCTACGGAAAGATTAATATTATATGGGAAAACAGAAAATTGGGAAGGAAAAGGTTGAGTGTTTGGGTAGGGATTTAGCACGAGTTCGAACACGAAGTTCTTTTCCTTAAAACCTTATTTGCTACCTCCCACAAGTGCTAGGAGCGTTGTAGCCTAGGTTTCCCAGGATAAAACGTGCTACGATTCCTTGTTTAAGCACCTAAACAAGGAACCCGGCAAACAAAGTAAAGCTTGAACACAGATTGGCTAAAGAAGAGAGTAGAAGCAGAAGTTTTGAGATGAAAAGTTATTGGAATTCCCTTGTTTCTCACTGTGTAACATGACCATTAAATTGGTGTTAAAACCAATTCCGGACGACATTCATGACCGCAAGTGCCGGCGCACGCGAGCTCGGGCTTAATTTCAAGCCTTTTTGATGTCCCGAGTATCCCGCATACTCACATATGTCAACCAACATTCGAATCACTAAAGCATTTAACATGCTAACCTTGTGCGGGAGCCACTGTTTCTAACGAGGAGTGGTAGGGAATCCGAGACCCCCACAGTGACACGCTCCGTTCCATAATTTAGTTGTCCCATTGAACCTAGGTGCCAGCTAGGTTGGGTGTCCACTATAGAACTTTATACCAAGGGCTTTAGACCCATTCCTCGTCTCAACTTCTCCACAGCTACTCTACATAACCCTTTGGTTAGCGGATCCGCTATATTGTCTTCTGACTTTACGTAGTCAATCGAGACAACACCAGTTGTGAGAAGTTGTCTAATGGTATTATGTCTACGACGCACATGTCTAGACTTACCATTATACATATGATTCTGTACTCGTCCAATTGCAGCTTGACTATCGCAATGCACACACATTGGAGGTACAGGTCTTTCCCAATTTGGAATATCCTCTAAAAAATGGCGTAGCCATTCAGCCTCTTCACAACATTTGTCCAAGGCTATCAGCTCAGATTCCATCGTGGATCTAGCTATCACGGTCTGTTTAGAGGATTTCCATGCAACGGCTGCACCGGCTAGTGTAAACACGTAGCCACTCGTGGATTTGGAGTCCTTAATATCGGATATCCAGCTAGCGTCGCTATACCCTTCAAGTACAGCAGGATATCTCCCATAGTGCAGTCCAAGGTCTCGAGTATACCTTAAGTATTTCAGAACCTTCACTATTGCCGTCCAGTGCATGGCACCGGGGTTACTCGTATATCTACTGAGTTTACTAACCGCAAAGGCAATATCCGGCCTAGTGCAGCTCATTAGATACATCAAACTACCAATAACCCGAGCATATTCTACTTGAGAAATACACTCCCCGTGGTTCTTGGTTAGATGAACGCTTCGATCTAATGGCGTCCTAGTCCCTTGATGATTATCCTTGTTAAATTTTTCAAGGATTTTATCAACATAATGTGATTGGCTTAACACCAGACCATCAGGTCTTCTAATGATTCTAATCCCGAGGATTAAATCAGCCAAACCCATATCCTTCATGTCAAATCTCGTATTTAACATGTTTTTGGTAGACTTGATCATTCGATCGTTACTACCAACGATGAGCATGTCATCTACGTATAAACAAAGAATGACATAACCGTCTATCGTTTCCTTAACGTAGACACATTTGTCACTTTCGTTTATTTTAAACCCATTAGTTAACATCGCATGGTCAAACTTCTCGTGCCATTGCTTAGGCGCTTGTTTTAAACCATATAGCGATTTAACCAACTTACACACTTTCCTTTCTTGGCCCGGAACCACGAACCCTTCGGGTTGTTCCATATAGATTTCCTCATCTAGTTCGCCATTTAGGAAAGCGGTTTTAACGTCCATTTGATGAACTTCCAAATTCCGCAGCGCGGCTATAGCAAGTATCATTCTAATGGAATTTATTCTCGTCACGGGAGAATACGTGTCGAAGTAATCAAGGCCCTCGCGTTGCCTATAACCCTTGATTACAAGCCTAGCCTTATACTTCTCGATGGAACCATCGGGTTTCATCTTCCTTTTAAAGACCCACTTGGATCCTAAGAGTTTACTACCCGGAGGAAGATCAACAAGTTCCCAAGTGTGATTCTGTAAAATAGAATCCACTTTACTTTTAATAGCCTCTTTCCACATTGGTCCTTCTGTAGAAGTCACGGCTTCTCCGTACGTTCGAGGCTCGTTTTCTATCAAACATGATAGAAAATCGGGTTCATTTTCTAATAAACAAGTTAGAGTACTCGAATCGTACTCCAACAAGTAAGTTAGAAAATCAGGACCAAATGATTTTCCAACTCTCGCCCGCTTACTGCGTCTTGGCTCGAGCTCGGGTTTTCTCTCGGATTCCCCACTATCATTATCCATAGCTTCGTCAAACGTTCGTTTTGACGAACTCGGTCCCTCATTGGACCTACAAGGAAATACATTTTCAAAGAAAGATGCATTCCTTGATTCTATTATCGTGTTCTCGTGTACGTCCGGATTATGGGACTCGTGTACTAAGAACCGATAAGCACTACTATTATGTGCATAGCCAATAAAGATACAATCCACCGTCTTAGGACCTATCTTTACTTTCTTAGGTGTTGGCACCAAAACTTTGGCAAGACACCCCCACACTTTCAGGTACCGGTAGGAAGGTTTCCTACCGTTCCACAGCTCATAAGGAGTCTTATCAAGCTTCTTGTGGGGTACCTTATTTAAAAGGTAATTACTTGTCAAAATAGCCTCACCCCACGCATCTTGAGGTAGGCCCGAACTTATAAGCATCGCATTCATCATATCTTTCAATGTACGATTCTTTCGTTCGGCAACACCGTTCGATTGAGGTGAGTAAGGTGCAGTACGCTCGTGTATTATACCTACACTCGCACAGAAGTCACTAATAGGTGCTTCGTACTCACCACCTCGATCGCTTCTAACTCTCTTAATCTTACGATTAAGTTGGTTTTCAACTTCATTCTTATAAAGAATGAATTTTTCCAAGGCTTCGTCTTTGCTTTTAAGCAAATACACATAGCAATAACGTGTGCTATCGTCGATAAACGTGATAAAATATTTATTACCACCTCTCGTTTGTATCGATCTAAAATCGCACAAATCACTATGGATTAATTCTAGTGGTTCAGTTTCCCTTTCAACCGATTTGAAAGGTACTTTCGTTAATTTTGCCTCAACACAAATTTCACATTTGTTATTTGTGTTAATTTGAAAATTAGGAATATGGTCCATGTTAATTAATCTACGTATAGAATTATAATTAACGTGACCTAGTCTACCATGCCACAAATTGGAAGACTCAAGCAAGTAAACGGAATTAACTTTGCTCTTATTCATGATAATAGGCATTACATTGAGCTTAAAAAGCCCATCAGTTACATAACCTTTGCCTACAAACATTCCTAACTTAGACAAAACAACCTTGTCTGACTCGAACACCATGCGAAAACCATGCTTGTTCAACAATGAGCCAGACACCAGATTCTTCCTCAGCTCTGGAACATACAGCACGTTGTTCAACGCCAGTTCCTTCCCGGAAGTCATCTTCAGAACCACCTTGCCCACGCCTTCCACAGCAGACTGAGCAGAGTTTCCCATCCAAACTTTCTCGCCCTCAACGGTCTCAAAGGTGTTGAACATTTCTCGGTTGCAACACAAGTGCCTTGTTGCACCAGTGTCGATGAACCACTCTCGTGGGTTAGAGTCCACGAGGTTCACCTCGGTCACCATAGCCGAAAGGCTAATCTCGACCTCCTTCTGATTGCTTTCCTCAACCATGTTGGCTTCAGAACTCTTGTTCTTCTTCTTTGGAACTTTGCACTTAGAGGACTTGTGGCCAGTCTTGCCACAATTGAAGCATTTTCTATGAAATTTCTTCTTGGTAATGCCTCCTTTCGGACCTAGCTTTTGCTTGTCCTTCTTGTTCTTCTTGGAGTTTTTAGCATGCTCCACAACATTGGCTTTAGCACCAATAGTGACAGAATTTCTTCCATCATTCGTCCTGTTCCCCTCCTCAATTCGGAGTCGCTGGATCAGGTCCTCCAGGTTCATTTCCTTTCGCTTATGCTTAAGGTAATTCTTGAAGTCCTTCCACCCTGGAGGCAGCAAGTGGATAACAGATCCCACTAGGAAGGCTTCACTCAACGTCATGCCTTCGTCACGGATTTCATCAAAGATTAGTTGTAAATCTTCAACCTGACTTAGCACGGTTTTGGAATCAACCATTTTGAAGTCAAGGAATCGGCCAACCACAAATTTCTTTGCGCCGGCATCCTCACTTCGGTATTTATGATCCAAAGCTTCCCACAGCGCTTTCGTTGTGCCAATCTTGCGATATACATCGTATAACGCATCACATAATCCGTTTAGGATGTAGTTTCGGCATAAGAAGTCCGAATCCTTCCAATAGCCAACTGCCATCACGGATTGGGCATCCTGTTCCCTTAATTCGGGAACCTTCTCGGTCAAAAATCTCGCCAAGCCGAGAGTTGCCAGGTAGAACAGCATCTTTTGCTGCTACCTCTTGAAATTCGATCCAATACCGGTGAATTTCTCCGGTCTTTCGGCCGAACCACTCGGTACCGTAGGTACCCGAGTCATGGGAATATATCCCTCGGTGCTCCCACCATCTTGTGAACCAACGTTCACTGGTGTAGCCTGGGAATTAGCAACATTATTGCCATTCCCACCACTGTTGTTCTCAACAACATTCTCCTCCCCGAGAGCTGGCAAAACTGGATTCTCCATTTCTTCTAAGAAATTAGAGATAAACAACCAACGGGAAACGGATATAAGGTTTTAAGATTGTTGGGTAATATGGTTGAAAATCCCAAAATAATAATAATCCTACGGAAAGATTAATATTATATGGGAAAACAGAAAATTGGGAAGGAAAAGGTTGAGTGTTTGGGTAGGGATTTAGCACGAGTTCGAACACGAAGTTCTTTTCCTTAAAACCTTATTTGCTACCTCCCACAAGTGCTAGGAGCGTTGTAGCCTAGGTTTCCCAGGATAAAACGTGTTACGATTCCTTGTTTAAGCACCTAAACAAGGAACCCGGCAAACAAAGCAAAGCTGGAACACAGATTGGCTAAAGAAGAGAGTAGAAGCAGAAGTTTTGAGATGAAAAGTTACTGGAATTCCCTTGTTTCTCACTGTGTGTAAAATGCTACTGCTCTACCTCTCTTTATATAGGGATGTTGGAGTGATAGCATTCAACATGGCCATTAAATTGGTGTTAAAACCAATTGTGTAACACCTGTAACGGTCACGAGAGTACACCTCTCGTGCTATGGTGCAATACGAGAGTACACCTCTCGTGTTTTGCTCTCGGTGCACCACAACCTCTCGTGCTCTCTGTAGCACGAGAGTGGTGTTCTCGGTTTTGGTCGAGCCATGCACCACAACCTCAGGAGCTCGCACCACAACAGATGAAAAATGATACCGAAGTTAGGCATAACTTAGCCCGGAAGGCCAGCCCATTTCCGGACGACATTCGTCGTCGCAGGTGCCGGCGCACGCGAGCTCGGGCTTGATTTTGATGTCTTCTAGTTGGATTTTGATTTGCACCCCCTCCCCCCCCCCCCCCCCCCCCCCCCCGCGAGAGAGCCTCTATGCTATACAATTCTACAAGCTTGAAAAGAGCTCATGTATATAAGGGGGGCAAATCTTGTTTCCAAACCAATGTAGGACAAAGTCCCACATTTTTCCTTCATTTCCCAACTTAAATGGGTCTACTTTGAGAATCAATATCTCATTCACTCATTATCCGTTTTGAGCGTACAATATATCAATCTCTTCGTCTTACTACGAAGAATTCGAATCCACTTTGACCCGACCCAAATCGGAAGTGGACCCCACTGATAATTGTACCACAAGATAGCCACTTAATATGCCATTTTATGCCATTTTAAGCTAATTTTTCCAACAGATTAATGGTTTAATTATTTTTATTAGTTTAAATTACAACTCTTTGTCGAACAATATTGTCTAAGTAAAAATAGTATACTTTTTAGAAGAATGATTCTTTCACTCAAGTCATCTAATATGTATTACATTTATATATTTTTTTAAAGAAGAAAATAACTTGAGTTAATAATGCTTAAGTGCAATATAAAGAAGTTTAATTTTATTTGAAACGTACTTTTCAGTTCAAGTACTGGCGTACTGCGTATCAAACATGTATTAGGATAACAATATATTATTAAATATAAAGTGTTTCAAAATTATATACTCCTAATCCCCATTCTATTTGGAAAACTTGTAGAATTGCCTATATCCTAATCCCAATTCTATTAGAAAACGGAACTTGTATAGTTGGCTATAAAAGGCACCGTACCATAAGGGCTGATTCCCAATTCCCATCAATAATCTTAGCTTTGGAGGTCTTGGTGAAAACATCTCTCAAGTGGCTATGGCGGATTTGTGGTCTCAAGTGGGGCCCGCATTAGCCACATTCATGTTTTTCCGCAGTGTATACCAGAGCTATTTCCCACAAGACTTGATGAGCAGGTACATTAACAAAGTGGTAAGCTACTTCTACCCATATGTCACCATTACTTTTCCAGAATTCGAAACAGACGGCTTCTATAAGCGCAGCAAAGTGTTCGGGTACATCGAACGGTACCTTAGCTCCAGCGCCTCCACACAAGCTACTTCTCTGTTAGCCAATGGAGTCCGAGGTAGCACCGCATACGTTGTTCTTAGTATGGGACATTACGAGGAAGTGATCGACGTATACAAAGGAATCAGGCTGGAGTGGAGCTCGTACAAGCACTCACCGAACAGACAGACGATCAGTTGGGGCGGAAAGGACGTGGACAAGAGGCTTTTCGACCTTAAATTTAACAAGAAACATCTCGAGGTTGTTACCAAGCATTACTTGAAACATGTGGTGGAAGAGGGGAAGAGGATTTATAAGAAGGAAAAGAAACGCCGGCTGTATACAAACAACAAGAGCGATGATTGGGATGACGACATGTGGAGCTACGTCACCTGGAAGCATCCTTCCACTTTTGAAACTATGGCGTTGGCACCAAAGATGAAGCAGGAAATCATGGATGATTTGATCGCGTTTAGAAACGCCAAGGATTATTATATGAAGATAGGGAAGGCTTGGAAGCGTGGTTATCTTCTTTATGGGCCGCCTGGAACTGGAAAATCGAGCATGATTGCTGCCATGGCGAATCTCATGGAATACGATGTGTATGATATTGAGCTTACCACGGTGAAGGATAACAGTGGTCTTAAGAAGCTACTCATAGATACACCCAGTAAGTCTATCATAGTGATTGAAGACATTGACTGCTCTCTTGATCTCACTGGTAAGAGGAGTGCGGAAGAGGAGGAGAGCAGCAGTGATGACGAAGATGATATTCCAATCCCGAACAAGGCTAAGAAGGAGAAGAAGAGCGAAGAGGTGACATTATCAGGGCTCTTGAACTTCGTCGATGGTCTCTGGTCTGGAATTGGGGAAGAAAGGATCATGATTTTCACAACAAACCACGTGGAAAAGCTCGACCCAGCTTTGATTCGGAGAGGGAGGATGGATATGCACATCGAGCTATCATATTGCTGCTTTGAAGCTTTCAAGGTGCTAGCCAGAAACTATCTACAGCTTGAATCTCACCTTCTGTTCCCCAAGATTGAGTGTTTGCTTGCAGAAACCAAGATCACTCCGGCTGACGTGGGCGAGAACTTGATGCTCAAGTCTGCCAAAGAGAATAATGCTGAAGTTTGCTTGCAGAGATTGATCGAAACCCTGGAAACTGCAAAGGAAGAAGCCAGGTTGAAGACTATGGAACAACACAAACCCAGGGCTGCCGAGAGAAACGAGAAAACGATGATCAAAATGATCAGAAGACAACTAAACAGGCTATTCAAGAAGAAGAAAATGGGGATTACATGAGATCTACCACTTTTTGCATCTTCCATATATGTCTGCTTTCTTCACTGAACCAGAAGTAGAGCTAGTAGTAATTTACTTGTTTCATAATAATGTTTTTTTTTTTTGAAGAATGTTTCATAATGTTTTAGAACAATTTGGTATCATAATCATAGTTTTCTTTCGGTAAGAAACACGCAGTCTCAGGCTATACATTTTCCATGGCAAATTTTTATTCCAGTCAAGCTATCATAAATGAGTGGAAAAGACCAGGGAAAATACTCTTTTACTTCCATAATAAAACATTTCTTTCCTTTTTACAAGATAAAGAATATTATAGATAGCAAACATCATTGATAACATCTTATAACAATTTTTAGATGAGAACATGTGATGATAATATAAAACAGAGTGAATGAAGCCAGAAAAAAAAAACATAATATTTTAACTCAACATCATAAAATTAAACACAAATACATATCGAAAATATAATTTTAATTAATATTTAATATTTGAATTAAAATATAACTTACAAAATCGTATATTTCATCCCTGAAGAACGTCAATGGTCATCAATTATAGACTCCATGGAGTGATCAATCTCATTTTTAAAAAGCGCAAAAGGGAAGATTTCATGACGAATCTGACAGATGCTATAGTCTGACAACCTTAAGAGTATAATTCGAGACAAATATAGTCATAATAGTTACAATTAACACAAGACAAATCCAGAAAAATAATATTCCCTAATCACAAGCCTGTGCACTATTCTTGAATACCAATCTGATGCTTTTTGTCACTGAGCCTTTAGGCCGAGAGTCGTATCTTCTTTATACCATGTTTAAACTTCTACAACATACTACATAGTAAACATATATGGTGAGAAATTATTACCGAGAACTCGAGAAGTCATGGCAAGATGCATTACTCTTTGCTTCTGAAATGAACACTGCTCAACAAGGTCAAGTGTGAACTCATCCGTTGCTCCCTTGGGGGAAAAAAAAGAAAAAAGAATTAGATTCGAATCTAAACATCTAATCAGACAAGTCTAACTCATGAAAAACGAAAAGCCATTTAAATTAAAACAGTATTTGAAGGCCTTGAGTTAATAAATAGACACAGGAGATGGCAGTACCTCGGGATGTTGAATGTCAACATCATCAAGTACATCCCTTAAGACTTCCAAGGCAGCACTGGCCTTATGCAGAATACTGTGCAAATACAAATGCTTCTAATATTGAGAACACAGGATATTATATTGATACATTCACTCTTTACTAAATTATATTCCCCTTTCAATAAATTTTGCATCCATAAAATCAGCAGTTTCATTGTTTAGAAACTCAAATGATGGGAAAGAAAAATTTTGGGCATTAAGCATTATAATATGTATATATAAATGCATAAGTCAAGAAAATTCATATATGACCACTGTTGAGCTTGTAAAGGTCTCTCTTTCCATTATTTAATTTTAAAGAAATAGACTACATATACAGGTGGTGTGTCTCAGACTCTCAAGGTAATAGGACAAGTAATTTTTTTTTTTTTTTTTGAAATAAATAGGACAAGTAATTCTGAGCTACTTAGTAGTTAGTGCAGTACATTACAGAGCATTTTTTTTCCCCTATTAATACACTATTCGATAAGTGATACCTCGAATCGGAAACTTTTTGAGGCTCCGCTTCTGGCACATTCTTTTTGAACTGAGAAGGTTTTCTCTCACAAGGATTAATCCTATTATCATTGGATGATGGGCGATGCTCTTTTGGGACAGCATTCGGTCTTTCAGGAAACTTCACTCCTGCACTCTGAAAAAATCAAATTTCAAGCATTATTTTTGAGTGAATTCTATTTTTGATCCTACTGTTATAGGGGTCATTCCAATTTTAGTCCATCTTAATCAATTTTGCCAGATTTAGTCCACTGTTATTGAATTCGTTCCACTTTTAGTCCACCTTTAGTTTTTCCGTCTATTGACCGTTTAATTCAGGGACATTGTGGTCATTTCATGGTATGTCTCTTCTCCTTTACCTTTTCCGTCGCCTAACCCATTTCCTCCATTCGCAAAATCTCTCTACAAAGCCTCCATTGCCAGTCTCCTCTACACGCCGGAAACTCGCCATCGGCTCAACAGATTTCAGAAACAGGAGGACGCCGATCGACGATCTGATCTGTGGGTCTTGTTCGCGACACCTCCCCAACTCCATCAACAGTCACTGATCGTCCATGCAATGGCTGGGTCGCCGGTAAATCCACCATCGTCGAAACATGGGTCCGATCGCGAGAGTTCTCCGACCCCGACCTATCACTAATTGGACCACCGAACATCGTTCCTACATCAGCCCCAACACCATCCAAAGCTTGATCGGACGACTGGACGACCAGCGGGGCCTCCATTGACGAGACCAGATCTCGATCGCGATTGTTCTCAAAAGGCGTCCGATCGCTCAATTGTTGAGGGCGATGACCAAGAAGGTGAAAAGATCATAAAAATTAAAAGTCATCGGGGTGTATGTTAGAAAACCAACCAGAAAAACCACGTCAGCATCGCCGGCATCGTGTCCCGACTGGAGAGCTCTGTATCAACCACGGTCTCCACGAACTTCCTGAGAGATCTAGTGTTAAACTCGTGGATGGCGACTTGTCTCTGGAACTTCCAGCTTTCGCCGTTAGTGTTAAAGATAGGAAAGCGCATCTTGTGGATGATGAACGTCAGATTGGGAGTGCTCTTAATCACGTCGGTAATCCATTGAAGCCGGCGGTCATTGTTCCCGGGAGAAATAAGAACCGATTAGAGGGTACACTCTTGGGTTTTTAATAGATTTGGTGAAGTTGAATACGATGAAGAAGACGAGAAATTGAGAACTCAAGATTCAACATTTCTTTTAATAATTTCTGAATTGGAAATTATGAAGATTGATGGATAAATCAAGGGGCGGGGAGGGGGGGGGGACATACCATGAAATGACCAAAATGTCCCTAGCTTAAACGGTCACTAGACGGCAAAACTTACTGTGGACTAAAAGTGGAACGAATTCAATAATAGTGGCTAAATCTGACAAAATTTATTAAGGTGGACTAAAATTGAAATGAGCCCTATAACAGTAGGACCAAAAATGGAATTCACTAATTATTTTTGCATCCTTATTGTTGTCAACAAAAACTCGGAACACCAAAACATACTTCCTACAAATTTTAAGTGATCACTTGTAATAAAATAGATTAGAAAACAATTTGGAAAGAATGAATCTATATATTCTGAAAATATGAACAACCTCTCATCTCAAAGAAACCATTAAGCCAACTATTTTTTTTTTGTCCCACGAGGTGTCCTGAGCAGGCCCTAACGGTAGGAGACACCTTTAAGCCCGTACCATACTCAGACTAATCCTCATTCGCACCGGGCCGGCCCGATTAAGGGCCAAAGTGCTGGCCATATTAGTTTTTCCATACGAGCGGGGGTTCGAACTCCCGACCTCTCTTAAGGGACAAGAGTGCACGGCCACTCACGTCAACCAAGCCAACTATTTAAAGTCACTAGTGGCAACAAAATTCCTTTTTCCCGACCTTTCTTTTTTAGTGTCGAAAGATAATATTTCTGGAAGTTACATGTCTATATCTCCCACGGCAGAATAAATTAAAATAAAAAGGGAATAGTTCAAATGACTTGTACCTACCACCAGCTCATAATATGCAGAATAATATTGAGGGAATCTCCCAGAAGCCCCACCAACGGAAGTCTGTGCAGCATCTAGAAGAAGAAATATCTTTTCTCTCGCGGGTACATCTGACTATAGAGCAAGTATTAAGGAATTTATAATTCAAACTAAACTGATAAAGATAGTAAGACTTGCACAGAGAAGATGAAGAACCTTTTTCTTTACTATCTTTACAAGAACTGGGAGCATTCCTGTATCTATAACCTGGCTGCTTGTGAACAGGATCTCCGATATTGTTCATTAGCATCTCCAGCAACTGTAAAATTAAACGACCATACAAAAAGAATTCTTAAAATATGGAGAAACAAAATACCACTCTTTGGTGCTAGCAATATAGCAGGTACCAACACAACTACGGCCAATGAAATGGAAAGTGAATTATAACCAATAGAAATGTTATCTGTGGAGTAACTTACTGTCACCGCAAACAATTGAGTAGTTGGACTTTTACTACCAAGGCGCTTCTTTATAGCTTTAATAACATCTTTAGCTTGCCTGAACAAATCGAAGGAAATCAATTTTCAGCTAATCAACTCATTAAATAGTCAACTTTGTGTTGAATCTTTGTCCTCCAAATTGCACAAAGCACTACTTGGAGGAATATTTTCTCATGACAAAGGTACACATATTTAATGAAAACCAGCCTAAACAAGAATCTGATGTAGCCTAAAAAGTAAAGACACTGACAACATCAATTAGATAATGAAACTGGTATGTTATACCCGTGATCATGAGCAACCAATTCACAAATTTTGATGTTTTTCATCCAATCTGTTTCTGTAAGTTTATCCTCACTTGTGGCAGAATTAACAAGTTCTGCAGCCATCTTCCTTTCCAGGTGTCAGCAATATGCATGAAGTAATCTTCCTATGGATGTTTGATGGAATATGTACCCCAAAACAATGCTAAAAAAATCCTGTACTTTAAAGCCCTCACGTAAAGAAGCAAAGCATGTGCCTTTAACCGAAACTCTTGGCTCT